TAAGACCTCTCCGAAGTTAATTTCATTAATTTACAATTAAAATAAAGAATTCATAATTATTGTTTCCAATTAAAAAGAATTATCTGATATTATAACATCATTTCCACTAAACATTTGAAATTATCTTATTTACAAAAGCAGCCCCTTCCTGCTAAGTCCATTCTTTATCCCTTTAAGAGGAAAATTTTAAAAGAATTATTCCTTTAAATTGATTTCTTCCTTGAAATTCATTTAAGTACTGTTTTATAAATGGTTTTCAAATAGCAAAGGTGCAAAATACAACCTCCACCACCAAGACGCTCATATGTAATTTTAAAAAGACCTACATATGGAAATTTCCCACTTATGTATTCTGAGAGCTATCACTCCTGACTGCTGGTAATTGCCAATGTGTTCTGTTTACTTAGCAACAGTTTTGCAGTAGATGTACCATTTGTGCAATCATAAAAGTAAGACACTTGCACATTCCCCAGAAGTATATGATGCTTCTACTGATTTTGTGCTAATAAGTGTAACACCTTAATAAATGTCTGAATAGATCTGTCCAGATACTTCCCTTGCTGTACCTTAGGGAAGCACCAAAAACACTGTCCTACTTTTTCCCTCTGCAGAATCGTTTTTCTTTCTTTACTTAAATAAAAATAGGAGCATTCTAAGCATCCCTACAGACTTACATCTGTGGTAACTACAGCAAGAGTTATACAAAAGTTTTCTAGTGCAAGTTGGTATCTTCTACAACCTATTGACTTAATTGAAAGGTCGCAGAAAACGCAGCTCTTGCTTCAAACAGCTTCCTCGTGCACTAAGGCAAGTTGCAGTCAAAGCCAATTACTGCTTAATAGTAGGACTCAGTTCAACCAAAACAAATAAACGAGTGTGTCTTGGTTTATTATCCCACCCCATTTAGGTGTTGATGTGTTTTGTGCCCAGGGGCGGCGGCTGCTGTGCCCACCCCACCTCCCCCGCGGTTTACCCTGGTGTGTTTTTTGGGGGGGGGGGTCTTTTCTCTTCTTTTTTTTTTTTTTTTTTTTTTTTTTTTTTCCTTTTCTTTTTTTTTTTTTTTTTTTTTTTTTTTTTTTTTTTTTTTTTTTTTTCTTTCTTTTTTCTTTTTTTTTTCGCTGTGACTGAGGTTGCCGCCTTGGCTTCTTTCGCTGCTCTGCTGTGGGAAGCCCCGAGCCACTGCGTGTCCCAGGAGCCCGGGATCACCTCGTTTCCCGCTGGGGGCTGCTCGCCACCGGCAGACAGAAAGGCCGGGGAGCCTCACTGCAGCGCTCGGCAGCTATGCTGCTGCTCCCACCCCTCGCACTGCCTCTGCCGAGAGTTTTGCTACACTGCAGCTCTTCACCCCCCTCCGCCGTCCGGCTTGTAGCTGCGGAGTTTCTGCTGCCGCTTGCTTGCTACCTCCGTTCCAGCTTGCTTCTCCTGAAATTCCCTGCTACAGCTCCTTTCGCTATCCAGAGGGGCACCACGGTCGGCTGCCCCTTGCGGCTTGTAAAGGAAGCTCCTTTTCCATCCCCTCTGCCGGCCGTGTCAGCCATTGCCGTGTGAGAGGGACGATTGAACCTCGTGCTACAGCGCCACCTACAGCCGCGGGGGAATCACCGCACCCGCCCGGCCTAGCTGGGGAGCCACCAGCGCCCCTGCCGGCTGTGACCGGAACTGCACAAAGGGGAAATGGCCTGACAGCCGACAGAAGGCTGCTGTTGGGTCTCTGGGGGTTAAGGTTCCTCATCATTTATTCAATTTTTTTTTTCCTTTTTCTGTCCCTCGTGCGCACTTTTTTTTTTTCTTCTCCTTTTTTTAATAAACAGTTTTTTGTTGTTTTTGGTTTGTTTTTTTTTTCACTTTCACCCCCGGGTATCCATTTTTCTCTCTGGCAGAAGAAAAAAGAACTATTGAAGCCCTTTCTGTTTAGAAGAAATGGTCATTCCAGGGTGTTTTCTGCTGAAATTTGTCTCAACAGAGCAGTGTATCCATCAGATATGAGTCTACAAAAAACCTCCAACTGTGTGAGGGGTTATGAGCAACTACAAGCAATCTGTGGGGCAAATGGATTAGGTGCAATTGTCCTTATCCTTCATTCTTGTGTAATTTGTGATAAAAACTTCTGCTAACAAAGTTTACTTTGTAATATCCCAGAACTGCACATAGGCTGCAAAACTTTCTTTGGCCAGGGATTTAACAATTGAAGGATTTCTCCACACTTTGCTTCATGGCTTAACTACCACACAATCTCCAACAATGCCAGTCACAACAGAAACATCTTCCTGAGCTCCAGCCACAGTGCAGGAAGAGAAGCTGTGTCTGTGAGCTCTACTATGAACTAGAGAGACCAAAGACAAAGAGATCAACATGGACCCTGATGCCCTCCCCTTTGGGCTGCCATTCCTCTCATGCTGGCCTGTGGTTTAGCTTTAGACTCAGGGCCAGCTGTGTCCCTTCCCAGTGGCTCTGTGCTCATCTCTCCTGTCACAAACTGCCTCTTTGGCCTCTGCTCTGTTGCCAGACAGTTTCCCTTTTCCTCTTTGCCAAGTCCCAACAGCACACTTAAGCACAGCTCTGATGTAAAGTCAAGCACACCAGCAAAACACTCAAGGTATTTCTCAATTCAATCAGAGCCTTTACATGATGCAGCACATGTAACTTGTAACATTATCTGACTGTTGATGACTTAACTGTGCCATAGAAATTTTTGCATGAATAAACACAAACCAAATATGATTGATGTCACAAACCTAGTGCATAAAAGATAACTCTAAAATAAGCCAGTAGAGTAGTATTTGATGTACACTGTTTTCCAACATGGTATTTTTATTAAAGTTTTCAATTTCCTGAAAGTTGCATGCAATTAATCATGGATTAATTAATGGAATTACTGATATTTGGCACAGTTATAAACAATTGTTACTATAAGCTCTTAAAAAGAGGTTCCAGTGATTTCAGTGCAATGGATTACAACATTTGCTGAGCTATGGAGGGTCTTAACAGCTGGCTTGCAAGCAAAGCTGAGTTAATGGAAGAAATAACAATTGATGATTTTCAAGTGTATCCATAGCAAGGAAGAAGACAGGGCCGTCAGCATGGAAAAGATTAGAAAAGATACATGAACATTTTTGTAAGACCAGCTACATGCATAAGTAGATGTGTATATTTGCCTTATTAAATTTCTGTAAAACTTTTGCCAATTATATTTACGTTAATTGTGTTGCACCAATGAATTTAAGACGTTATTGTGATGTAGTTAATGACTTAAGATCACACTTTGTTAAGGGTATATAAGCTGGAGAACACACAGAAAAAAAACCTTTTTTCTTCTTGGACCCTGATCACGTGTGCGTATGTCATGTCTGACCTACTAGTGACACCAAGCTGCCATTTTTACACTTCCACCAGGCATCACTGTCCTCCACAGCAGAGGTGACAGAGGAACATCTGTTCCCGGTACTCCAAGGCAGATCTTGTTCATTTAACACTAACCCACTTTTGCAAGTCTAGAAATAAGGGACACATTCAACAGCACACCTATTACATATGTAGTGATGACCCCTTGACAGTGTTCTACAACAGAGATGATAAAATGTGCCACATTACTTGCCTCCTCTATGATATCAGGCAAAGTATAAAAAGAAAAAACTGTGAATCTGTATCCTATGATACACCAAGAGAACTACGAAAAAAGTACCAGGATAGGTGTGAACGCCACAAAGCAAAGAGAATTAAATGTAGCATCAAAGCTGGGGCCGAGCTGAAAGTTGCAAATTTAGAGATTTTATCTTACCATGCTCTGGTCTCTGATCTGACATAATTATTTTGTACCCCAGTACACAAAACTGCAAGATCAACAGTCAGCAGCACATTTTGTTTTGAAATGCAAAAATATCCAGAACAATGAAATGAGGAAAAAAAGTAAAACCAAACATTGAGACACTAGTGCAAGTACTACTGAGAAAATAGTATCACTATTCTGAAAGTTTATTTTTCCCTTCTTCTGTGACACTCCCATAGTCTGAGTGACTTACAAGACCTCTCTCCAGGTCACTGGCCTCTGTTTATGGAGCCTTATAATTATTGTTACCTGGCCCCTAACAAATGATGCTATGTCTGCAAGAACAAAGTAAGGTTTACCAAGTATATTGCAAAAGCTAGAAATAAGGCCTCAATTCAGAAGACAAAAAGTATATCTTACTGAAGAGTTACACATAGTAAGTGGTCACCTATCAAAAAATAAGTACCAGCCATCTACAGAGATGGTACCATCCCTCTTAAGACCACTGCAGCATGTTAGAACACTTAGCAAATTTAAAGGTAGGATTTTTGAGGAAAAAGTTTTTTGAAGACTACAAACAGACCTTTCCTGTTCTTTATCACTTTGATTGTCTGCAGAAACTAAAAGTGCCCGTGAAATAGTTTACAAAAAAATTAAAAGTAAATTCAGAAGCTACTGAACTGGACAATTCTTGTACTGATCCTAGAAAATACTTGTTAAGAGCCATCCATAGGCTCAGTCCCAAACACTGAATTTTTTCCCCTAAAAATTCACCTCCCAAACAAATCTAAGATTGCAAAATACTGGTTAGGAGTTGTGGGGGTTTGTTGCAGGTTTTTTAATGGATTTTTAAAATACGGTTTATATTTCACATGGGGTGTTTTTGCTATTAGATTCTAAAGCATACTGCTTGGCTTGCAGGAAGTTTGCCACTGTCATTGTCTCCACAACTATCAGAACTGTGGATACTGGAGAAAGAATTGCTGGCTGACATCTGAGTGATTTAAGCATGTTTTGAAATCATGCATAGTTGTGTGTCACTTGTTATCATACAGGGGTAACAGAGTTAATAAATAGCATCTTTGAAGATGCATATACTTGCCCATTTAATGATGCAGTTCATCTAAAGAGCAAAAGTAAAAGCTTATGAATGAAAAAAGAAAAAAAACATTTTCTCTGATTCATGTCCCTTCTAGTTCAGCCCAGACTGAACTACAGTAATAAGACATTCCAGTAACAGTAAAGAATGTTTTATTAAAATGGAAGTTTTTCAAACCTTATCTATCAAAACTAAGGCCACAACTAATGCTAACACAAAGTCAAGAAGCTCAAAAAGTTCTTATATGATACAATTTAGAAATTTGAGACAAGGCTATTTTACAAAGTTAATCAAACATTCTGAAATGCAGTATTATTTATTTTTTTTTCTAAAATATTACATGAATTATCCTAGTGATAATATTTAATGATACAAAGTACTGAATTATCAGTGCATGTAACCGGTTTTTATTTTGGTCCTGTGACAACTAACTTTCTGCACCACTCCAGCTACCAAAATAAATGAAAGTACAAAATATTGTAACGGAAGCTGCCAACAACTCCTCCCTTTTGTGGTCAGTTAATTTCTTTTCTTCTAATGCTAAATATCTCCAGTCATAATAGCAATAAATTCTTCTTGATTGACTGCAAAAAAAAAAAAAAAAAAAAAAAAAAGGACAAAAAAAGAAATTCATTAGACAAACAGCAAACAACAATAAACCTTAAAATAAAAGAATGCATATCTGCATTATTTTTTACTTAAAAGTGAAGTAAAAAATACTTAAATTACTTAAAGGCTTCTCTATTAGTATTTGCTGCATCTGATCCATTACTGTGAGTGTTTACAAATTTGCTCCTAGAACAAGGGTTTTGCACAAGCTTTTCATGTAACATGAAGCTAGAATGCAAGCTTTATTATGTGGAATACTAAACCCAGAATCTAGCTCACTTATAATTACTATTATTTCTATTATAAAAGTAAAAATACTCTAAAAGTGAAATATTATAGGAAAAAAACCCCAACAAACATATATAAGATGGCTAATGCAAAATAGTATTATTTTAAAGGTCTATAAAAGTGTTAAGAATGGTATCTAAATTTTATTAAGTATGTACTTCTCAAGCAACAATACCTTAGTTAGTCATGACTGAATCTAGTTTTATTCTTAAAATCTCAATTCAAAACATTTACATCCAATTTACCATCACAGATCAAACAATGCTATTCCTGTCTACCCATTCTATAACACTTACAAATACAAAACAAATTTTAATATAGTTTACCAATTATTCCATAAATTAGCTAGATTTAAAGTGGACATCTGATGAGCCTTTCCCCACCTGAACTTTCTTCATTCTTCATTTATAATTAACAGAAATTTTACACAAATGCACTTAAAGAAATTAAGTCATAATAATACATTAATTAGCATTCATAAATTATTTTGTTGCAGTTATACCTGAGGTACTGATCTTGCTCATACGTTAAAACATAGCCCCTGTAAAAGAGTGAACCGGTGAACATGTTCACTGTGCAACTAATTACTGTACTGGGGAATGATTAGAGTAAGATGCGGGTATGGAAAAGACAAGATACATACAAAGCCCCAACAATTATCCATCCCAGCCCAAGCTGTTCCTAAACAAAACACTGCAAAGAAGGAACTACATTCACAGCTAGAAGAAAATAAATTCAACTATGTTAAAGAATAAAAAAATCAAAAAACCTAAATATGTCCTGCTGTGATGTATATAAAAAATAGGAAACAAGTGTATTTAGTCTAGCTTAGGGCCCTATGCTCTGAAATACCAGTCCATCACATAGCTACATCCAGTTTTAAGACACAAAAATACAGTAACTGTATGACTTTAAAAGCATTTCCACAGCTTTATCACAGTAACAACATAGTAACAGCACAAATTCAAACACTGTCTCAAAAATATTCTCTGGTTTACAACATCCTTGAAATAATGCTGCAATGTGGAAATACAACACTATAATGACAAATTTTGCAATATTCAAAGAAACTTCAAAAAGCAGTGTAGTTACAATTTCCAGTAACCAAAGTAATTCCAGTTAGTCTTCTTCAGATATAGCATATGTTTCATGCATTAAGCACCATGAAAGCAGAAGAACTGTTTTTTTCCATGGCATCATATTTCCCTCAACTCCATGACATAAGTAATCATAAAAGAACAAACTAGAATCACAGCTAATAGAAAGAGAATATTGACTTAGAATCTTGAGAGTTAAAGGTGTGTATGGTTGGTTTGGGTACTTAATTTTGTGCCAAAAATCCAAGACATGAGATTGGATAGTGTTTCCTACAGTTGCATCCACACAAAATGATCAAAATTGCATGAACTGACACTACACCGTTTTTCAAGTTAGCTGTGCTCAAAACCAGAAGTAATTATTAAACCCAGGAATACCAAAGTAAGATTATTTAATTATTTAAGGGAGACAAAAATACATCAAATATACTTTCTTTTACAGAAATCTGTGTAGTACTGTACTCTACCAGTAGAACTCAGTGGTTTTACTGGGAACATAAGGGTTCATGTAACTTGAGTACCATACAAGATACCTTATTTCACTGTGAGCAAAACAATCTCTCAAATGTAATACAGGGTTTAAACCAGTAAAAGTGGTATTATTCCTGTATTATTCCAGTATTTGATATATCAATAAAAAGTGGTATTATTCCTGTATTTGATATATCAATAAAAAATACTAACGATTAACAGTTTCAAATTTTTTTCAGAGAGCAGGAAAAGGAGAATTAAATGACAGCAAGATTTTGACACATTTGCCAGGTGTTTGAAGACAAATGACATGGTGATTCACAGAATCATTAACTTTCTCAGAATGAATGTTGAAAAGCTAAGAACAGCCTCAGTTTTCTTTAAGGAACAAAAAACACACAGAACTTTAAGGATAAACAGCACCACACACAAACATTATGCTGTCAATCTTCCATATTCAATCTTCTGCTTGACTCCTCTAACAAACACAATGAATGGATGACTGATAAGAGGAAACTGAGACACTTAGTCCTAGCTGATCAATTTGATTTAAAAAAAAAAAAAGTAGTACTGACACAAAATAATGACTCAATAACCCTCCTGAAAGGAGCTAATGGTATATGTTCCATATGTAATACCCAAATAGCAATGTGACAAAAGAACATTGATCCACAATTTTGACATCTCATTTGGCAGCTCCAGGAGATCAACACATGACAAAACATATTTGCACAAAGAATTCTAATTTCACTCACCTCTACAGCTATGACTGTAAAAAATAACCCCTACACTGAACAGCAGAGAAGACTATCTGTCAAAAGGCTGACAACACAATTTTTTCCATACTACGTGTGCATTTTGAGCCCAACATATGCTTACAAGCATAAATATCATTGTCACAGGAAAAACTGATGACCTGCTACTGAAATCTCAGATATGAGTCACCACCCTGTAAGAACGGTGTTCGATTGACTGACACAGTCTTTATGTGCAAGATCTTAAGTGAGTGATCCTCAAAATTCAGGTATTAACGTTTCTGATGTAAAACTAAGATTGTTTTCAAGATAGTGGAAAACTAAGTTTCAGTGCTCACAATGATTTAACAAGCATAGTATCAAACTTGATTTGCTACTTCATTCTTTATCTACCTAGTAAATCCCTTCTGCAGCCTACTCTGGACCTTGTCACTTGCAGAGCCATTTTTCACACTATGCTTTTCAGCACTCCAAGGTTCAGAAGTATGTTAAAGAGCCATGCAACCTGATCCTACACAGACCCAGGCTACTTCCAGCATGATTTATTAGCTTAATGCTCCATATCCAATGCTGAAATCACAACAAGGACACATCGCCACTTAAGATATATTGAGTAAGTGACCAAAAGAGTTCCTCTCAGCACTTTACTGCTTTTACTGATTAATAAGAAAATAAAAATATAATGTAGGTACACAGAATCTCTCTTACTTCTACCTTCAACTACACTTTCACCCATCTTTTAATAGACATTGACTGAGTAAGAGTTGGTGGTGAATCAATTTGATTCTTAAACTCCAAGATTAGTAGCTGTCAAAAGCAATTGTCTGCATTATTTGTAAGCCAAATTATGCTTGAGATGAAAGGAATCTAGAAGGAAATGAAAGAGGACATTTTCACAACAAAATAACACCTAAAAAAGGAAAAAAATTAAGAACAAGATGATATGGTGTTATATTTGCCAACACATACTTTCTCCATCTCCATCCTTATCAAATTCTTCAATCATAGCCCGCAGTTCTTCATCAGACATATTTTCACCCAATTCTCTAGCAACCCGGCGTAGATTTCTCAGACTTATTTTGCCAGAGTCATCATCATCAAACAATTTGAAAGCCTTGAGTATTTCTTCTTGTGGGTCTCTGTCCAGTATCCAATCTGTCACTGCAAAAAGGATACTTAAGTTAGACTAAAAAATTCAGAAAGGTAAACTCAGAATGACCTTTGCAAACTAGGACAATATGAAGAACACGTCTGATTTCACATGTTCTTACATTTCTATAGAATTCTATGTGCATATTTGTTTGGCTTTTGTCTGACCTCTCTTTCTCACCTCTGCTTTCCCAAGTTGCTCTTTGGGACTTAACTGTTGCAGTAGAAGCTGCATGGCAGTTCAGACACAGTCACACTTTCCACACATTTTCCAATAGGAATTTAAAGTATATACAAGATGCCACTCTTTCAAAATTCCAAATTTTCAGAAAAAAACACCATCAGCTCTTTTAGATGAAGGTGAGAATTTTTTTTTACTTACATGTTTTAATCAGGATAGAATTTTGAGCTGGGGAGAACACTGAAACAGTAAGTGAAGAAAAACATCCACATGAAACCTCTCTTTTAAATATAAAACAAAAAGCCATCATAACCAACCAACAACCCAGCCCCCCAAACCTGAAAACAAAAAAAGACTAAGCATAGGGGTTATGAAAAGAATGCTGCTATGAATCACAAGATGTTTATTCTGAAAGAATTCTTCAGCCTTTATTATTCTTTTCAAGACAATAATTTGTCAGTTTCCACAACAGAAAATACAAACTTGCCTCGTTAAATATTTCTCTAGTAATTACTTCAGACCAACCAAGAATAACGTGTCTCCACATCTTTGGACCTGCCAGTCTTGTATTGCAGGGCTAGTCTTGTATTATCAAGCCATTAAAATCACATCAACACTTTGCACAGAAAGAACCACTTACCATCTGCTACTAACTGAAGATGGAATGTCTGCTCTGGCTTAGCTAACTTGAGAGGAAAAAATTTTTCATGCTCATACAAGCCAACTACAGCAATCAAGTTTATAGATCTGCAGATTTATGCTAAATTTAAATATTTTTTCAAAACAACAGTGCTGCATGACAGTATTACATAATTTGAAAAATGCTACCTTTTGTGGAAAAAAGACAACTGAAAAATAATAAAATGTCTCTAAATACAAAAATATAGAAGACAAATTATAATTGCATCTTTATGTATTTCAGTTGAACATGAAATTAAGAGAAATTGATGGCTCAAGAATTGCTTACAGGCTCTAACATTCAAGGGCTCCTCACAGTTAATGTCTCAATAACCTATTTTATCTAACTCCTCAGTTTTTCTCTTAGAAGTGATATATTTAATTGTGTGTCAAGGTCATATGGCACCACAGCAGTACGCTACTTCAACTCAAGTTTTCCAACAGGTTCAATCCCCTTCTAAGTATATATATACTGTGTTTTCTACAAGAATTTCCTGGCTTCTTGCAGCACTTAATGACTGATATTGATAGCCAGGACAGAACAAGAAAACAATGAACAGGACTCAACATCAGGAATTTAAAAAGTAATTGCATGGTAATTACAGTATATTAATTTTATATAATATTATATAATGTAATATGTAATTTTAAGACTAGTATTACTATTGAATGAATACACTAACTTTCTTCCTAATACTTCCACACAGACTTTATAAATCAGAAAGAACCAAAAATAATGTTCTCTAACTTGGAATATAACTATAAAAACATCACCTGCCATTAACAAGACATTTCATCCAGTACTAATCTGTAAAACAATTAAAAGTTGCCACATTTCAATCACTAATTGTTTCAATACATTAAGATGATTGCTATTTGTAGCCAGGAATAGGTACTGGGAGGTTGGGTATTTTGTTCCATAAAATCTACAGAAATACAAGACCTTGAAGAAATGGACTATCATGAACATAATGAACTATAATGGACATAATAAGCTAGAAATGTAAACCCATACAGATTGCTTTTTGGTAAACTTAAATTGTATGCAAAAGCATAAATTATGCATAACAAAAATCCCCTAAAATCTTCAAAGAAACATCAAGTCTTAAAATTTTGCAGATCACTACAAACTCAAAGTACATAAAATTTCACAATACACAAATTTCAGATTAAAGACAACTAGTGCTACTGGCTCTATCAACAGCTGAAAATTCTTCTAGTACAATATTTAAAATCTACTTCAACTTCTCTAATCTTTTTAATCTTTTATATATGAAGTCTGTAGTCTGCTTCTCTGTGTATGCGCACCTTCCCATGAAATTCAATGCCAAATACCTTTTCCAAAGCAGGAAGAATCTTACAGAGATCCATGAACAAGACAAGAACATCTACACTTTAAACTAGCACTTATTCCTCTGTGTAAGCTTGAAAGAGACTGTGTAAACTACTTCCTTTTATACTGCAGCTATCATTCATCTCCACATATCAAATTAAGAATTCAGAAAACAAATATTTATCTTCCTTTACTATTGGCCTATATTAAACAAAGTACTAAATGAAATCTCCCACTTCTATTTCTTAAACAATTGAAGAAGTCCATGAAGTACAGCTTTGAAATTGTACTCACTACTACAGGCTAAATATCTCTAGAGGTACAAATACAATCACATACCAACTTCATTAAAATCTTCAAAGGTGATCTTGCCTGTTGATTCTCGATCATAATCTTTAAGTATTTTCAGGACATCAGCTTTTTTCACATCAAAACCCAAGGCTCTCATTGCCACCTTTTGGAATAAAATGGAAGTGTGATCATAAATAAGGATCAAAATAAAGATTTAACAGATTTTCCTTTTTATTTCAGTAATTACCTTCTTGCCCAAGAGAGAAAGAGCACATCAATGGTTTAGTAACAATAATAAATAAATAAAAGGAAAAGAGCTTGGGATATTAAAACCATTTAGAACTACTATTAGGAAATGGAATATCTAGTTACAGTGAGAAAAAAAAAAAAACTTTGCATTTTCAGGGATTTTACAGACTGGACCAAATGCATCTTAGGACAATAAATTTATTCCTCATTTCCAAAATCATTTCAAAATCTGATCTTCTTAAGACAAAATTGAAAATCATTCTGCAAATTGTATGCAAGTGTGTATGTTCATGGATTTACAAATCCTACAAGACTTTTAACTGCTTTTCTAGTCAGCCACAGAAGCCAACCTAGGTTTTACTTTTCCGTTAGTGCTGAAGTCCACATTTAGTTTCCAATTTCACCTTAGAAGGCAACTGCTCAGCACACAGCACCCTAACTTCCTCCAAACTGATGAATGCAGGCTAACCACACACAGTGGAAAACCACTGAAGTAGTTATTCAAAAATTGATACTATATGCTGATTTTGTAGAGAAGGAGACAAGTAGTTTTTCTCTTTATGTATTTCTGCTCTTTCACAGTATAAGCTTCAGGATGACAATATTTGATTAGACAGCTAAGAAAGAGCTTTTCAAGTAATCATGACAGCTGGGAATTCAAAGCATACCATAACCAGAAAAAGCATTACCGTAACCAAGAGTGTACCCAGCACAACCCTAGTAACAGTGACTTCCAGCAAAGATAAAATAAGTGAAATAAAGAGAAGGGAATTGTTCTGCCTAACACATTCCTGTAGCAGCAAATTAAGTAAAAATAAGACTTTTTTCCTTCTTTGAATTACTTGGTAGAACCACACTATAAAGCAAATACACTGGATTAGGTATTCTTTCAAAAAAACCCTCACCCTATATGTGACTGAAACACTGGCCTCTCCAAAGCTACTTTTGGTTCTTGATGTCTAAATTAGAATAAAAATGCATAAAGGATTTAAGATGAGTTTAGTGAACCCCATTTACTGCTCTGTAGCCTTTCAGGTGGGAGGCCTTACTTAGAAAGAGATCCTAAACTCCATCTGCTAATAGCTATCATTAAGAGCATCCTTCTTTGGGAAGGGCAACTACTGGCCTCCCTCAAAAAGCACACCTTATTCCTACAAATCATAGGCCTTCTTTGGAAAAATACAGGTAAGCTCTGGCTTGTAGCCAACAGTTTTACAATTTTCATTTACAACTTTTACTTACACATCTGAAACCAACACCAGGCTTTAAGTTATACAGTGTCTTTAAAAATAATCAAACAGTTTTTCAACAGTTTTTCCCTCTGTCCAAGCTTATCCTTGGACACTTTTTCCATCTGTCCAAGCTTATCCCAGGTCAGCAATTATACCAGGGTTATTCAGAATTCTATAGCAATTCTGTTATTCATGAACTATATCAAGTGAGAAGAAAAGCTTATCCTTACACTAAGAGAATATTTCCCGTTTTTTCTTTTTTTTTTTTTTTCTTTGCTCCTTTAACCCAGCAACACATTCTGAAGGAAGTTTTTCAAGATACAGCCAGCATCTTAAGAATTCACTATGGAACAGATATATTATCTGCTATAAAATTGCTTAAATGAAAGGAAACTTCTACCTTTAATTCATGATAATTTATCGCTCTATCCTTGTCTGTATCAAACAATTCAAAGGCATCTTTAATTTCTTGCTTCTGCTCCTCAGTCAGTTCTCTTCTTTTCTTCTTTTTAGTTTTATCTACTGAGAGCTCATTCCTATATAATGAAAAGGTAACATAGTGTAACACATTTCTACTGGGAAGATGCCACTGTAGATAACCTTCTCCACCAATAAGAAACTCACCATAATTTTAGAAATCAGTACCTTACCTAGTCAGTATTTTCCCAGCTTGTATTCCCAGTTTAAAATATTATTAGAAACAGACAATTACCTTGTGAAATTTGAATGACACCTCTCGTCTCCTACCCAAAATAAAACCAGCACAGGCATTTTTGTTAATAAGCAGAAACAACAACAAAAAAAAGAGGTTAGAAAAATTACCAGTTAAAAAGGCTTCTTGAGGTTACAAACTAGATTAGCAGTTGAAATTATACTACTCATGAAAACAGTTAGTTTCTACACTGTAGCTTAAAAAAAATAAAATAAATTTGGGGACTGACAGGCCAGTGGAAGCCAAATGAGGCCAAACAAGTCTGGCTACTAAAACTAGCATTAGGTGCTACAAATCAGCTTTGTTGCCTGTAACAGTTCTTAGACAAAGAGAACTTGCAGAATTTTTTTTTTTTTAATCCTTTAGATCCCATATACACATATACACAATGTTTTGAAGATGTTTTGCTCGGTTTTGGTATATACAAAAGAGACAAGCCCTCCAAATCAGCAAATCTAGCTCAAAGACAGCCCCCTTTTCTTTGGCTAGTCTAGGAATAAGCTTATATTTTCAGAGGAACATAGTAAAAGGACAAGAGACAACAACTACAAAATTTAAGGGAAAAAACTGCAGCTGGAGGAGAAACTGCAGCTGGATCTAAGGGAAAACATTTTCTCAGTGCATGTGTGTTAGAACAGTCCCACTGGGAAGGAGTCTCCAGAATTTTTTGAACCTAACTACAAAAGGTGCTTATCCTCAGCCAGCTTTATGTAGAAGCTGCTATCATCAGGAAGATGACTTCCATAAGTCCTTCCTAACCTAAATTACTGTATCATTTATGTCATAATCTCAGGAACAGGCTTTTTATGCTCATTTGTCCTTTTGCATCAGAGGCAGAATGAGTGCTGCATCACCTAGTGCACAATGCATAAAGATTACTGATCAGAAAACTGCGAGATTAACTTTCTAAATCCTCTCTAATAAGCTACTTTATGCCCTTCTTTGTTGACAATTTGCTAATTTTAATCAAATCCTAAGATTAAATACTTATCTAGATTTAGATTTCAACAACCACTGAAGCAAAAATCCCAAATGCAGGCATGAAAAGTGCAAGCCGCAGAAGCTGAGCCTGCTTCAAACCACATTACCCTCAAAGAATAAGATGTCCTTAACAGACCAACTGAGACAGTATGATTTCACACAGGCTTTGGATTACTACAACTCTTGGAAGGACCACAATAACTCTGAGCTTGCTACGTAATTAGGACTGGGAGAGTAGTTCAGATCTAGGGAGCCCAGATTTTGTGAACTACAATGAAGAAATCCATTTATAAATGTAAAAGCAGATTAACACCGAGCTCTTCTGAAAGAGCAATCTGAGTACTTAAGTGTTCATTTAACGCTTAGCATAAAATAATTTATCAAAAGGAAAAGCAGTACTCACATACAGGCAGTTTAGTGCCACTTCTGCGACTACTTTAACCATATTAATCATGAAGTTCTTAGACTTGAAAATTAAGGATAACCGTTACCATGTAAGCGTAGTCATTACACTTGAAGACAAGAAATTGCCAGGTCCTTTATGCAACAGCTACTGAATCAGAATTTATAAACAAAACATAGCCGAGCAGTTTAACTTTATGCCTATTCACAGGCCTTCTGAAAGCACATCAGACAACCCAGAAGAGAACCTCCCAAGGCCAGATGCGCCGGACCCTTCCCTCTTCCAGCAGAGAGACGGCCCTGATCCTTCCCCGGCCGCGCCAAAGGGATCAGATGTGACCGGCTGGAGGCCGGGGATGACACCCAGGCCCCACCACGGCCTGACGCGCCCCGCGTTCCGCCAACACCTCCCGAACGGGGGCGGTGCGGCCCTGAGGGACCCCCATCCGCGCTCCGTGGATGGGCGAAGCAGGGAAGCGGCGTGCTCGTACCGACCTGAGGGCCAGGCTCATCGTGCCGTCGCCGGGCAGCCGGGTCCGGCAAACGTGCCCCCGCCCCTCCGCACGGCCCTGCAGCGTCCGAGACCCGGCGACGGCGCACTCCAGGCCTTGGCGACGCCGCTCAAGCCACGCCCCCACCAAGTACCTACGTCTGATTGGCCGAGAGTCGATAAACTCCCGCCTGAGAGCCCTAGACGCTCTGCTATTGGGTGAGATTCTGCCACTCAGGGCGGAAGGGGTGTGCTCTGAGTCGGCAATGGCTCCCGGTGTCGCCTTCGGCCGCCGAACCGCTTCTGCTGCGAAACGGGCAGCACGAGAAAGTTTTCCTAAAGAAGGATGTTTCTGCATGTTTGATCTTGATTTTCAAGCCTAATCAACAAGAAAGGAGATTTAATCCTTGAAACAGATAGACGCTACAAAGCAAGCTTAAAGTGATGTCCAGGCGTTAGAAAGAAAAATCTTGTGTCGGAATTTCCTTGGCAAGCTCTAGGGCCCGACGTATTTCAGTGATGTCAGGCAAACAATTCAGAATTTCCTGGCCACGAGGACATTTGGCAGAACTCCCCACATACGGAAGAAATTACTAAAGGCAACTCAGCAATTGTGCTGAATCAGCTTCACTTCCAGCTGCCCACCGACTCAGGAGAACGACTGGGCATGTGGACTAATTAGCATGAGAAGCAAGAGAATAATTAACAACAGAAGCTAGAATAGTCATTATTAAGAGAACTACGTAACCTGAAGCCTAATGCATGTGTTTGCTAAAATGTGTAAATACTAAAAAGTTTTGATAGTTGGCATGCTTGATTCATGGAATACCATGCAGCACCCAGTGCAACTCTAAAATAAAGAATCCATATCTCCCTCAAGTGTGTAATTATTGGCTTATTGCACACTAGGTAACAAATCCGATTTTTGTGGTCAACACTTCTACTGGCCTTGCTGTAGCCTGGATGTGTGGTGGCTGTGTCAGAAGAACTCCCCGTGGACCCAGGGCCTGCTCGCTACAGCTCACTCCAGCTGTTGCGTGTGCGGTGGGTTGTGGAGGAGCACACAAAAGCGGCATTTATAGAAGCATTTCTGGCATTTGTACAGATTTTGTCTTACTAAAAATTTGATTGAAAGCAGTATGTACTGTGTGGAGACTGAAGACCTTAATGTATAGTTCCAGTTATCATTGACACTAATATTTCTGTGTCTTGCAAAACGGTCAGTAAATCAACATTACATATCTGTGTGGAGCAAATGCTCATATCAATCGTGAGAAAACTCAGATTTGTGAAAAGTGCTGCCTCAGTGCTCTGGAGTGTGACAAAGTAATTGTCAGTGTGCCTTGTTTCATAAACAAGGGCTGTTTCATAACTAGCTTTGACAACATAGTACAGTGTTACTAACTGGACCATGATGATATTCAGATCCTTGCTAATACTGTGTTATGCAGTCTGGCTAGATAGACTGAAAATTCTTAGACAATGAAAAATTCCTTCAGGTCTTGGAGATGTTTTGCACCTATGTTTCCAATAAGAAACTATTAATGGGCTTACACTGAATACAGAGAGTTGAATATGTAGAGTTTGGCTTGGTCAAGACACATTCTTCCTGAGCAAAGTCAAGTGAAAATAAGACTTTTTGCCTTCTTCAAATTACTTGGCAGAGTCACACTATACAGCCAAGACACTGGATTAGGCATTCTTTCAAAAAAAAAAATACCCTATATGTGACTGAAACACTGATGAAACTTATTTTTCTGTCTATTCATATTATGCCTGATCCACATATCAAATAGGCAGAGGCAAGAGGTTTGTAATTGACTTCCATTTACAGATGGTAGCTTTGCAATTAAAAGCATAAATTACTGGCAGGTTTGACCCTCAACCTGTACTGTGGTACAAATATAACCACAGATTAATTTTTTTTTTTGTGTTTCATACAACACATTTACTTGTCCAGAGAGAAAAGGAAGCATTAACCAAATGGTGAGTGAAGTGTGGGAAAGTAGCACCAGGAGCCCACAACTGAACCAAGAGCCCCAAATTACATTGATTCGTCCCTACTCTCACCTCCTCTGCATGTTGATCCTGGGTGTCAGCATAGGGGCCCTTGGTTCTTGCCTGAGCTGCACTGGGGTTATTCCTGTTCTTGTACTGTGTGCTGCGCTTGCTGACATATTTACCAGACTTCATGGCCTGGCCATGAACATGAGTCATCACCTTACCACTGTCTGCAGTCACTGGGCTGCTGACAGGTCAGGTTTCTCTGCAGGGAGGTCACAATCCCTGCCTATGTGACTGCACTTCACTTCCACGTTGTCCTCTCTCATGGTGCACCTGTGCCCTGGCTGCTCTGTGTCAAGCAGAGTGAAATACCTGATACTGATACTCTGCGTGTGCTTCTGGCAACTGGAGATCCACATTCAGGTCCCTTACTTCTAAATTTATAAGCTAAAAAGTTGCTCTAGAAACCAAAGTTCCACCCTTCGTAAATTGATTTAAGTTAGCAGCAGTGCTCATACTGCATGTGAAATGGAGAAGCAAAGAATTCTGAAGAGAACAGACAGGCTCAAATAATAATATCTAAAAATATAGTGGTGGTAGCAGTGACTTATAAATCCTTGCATTTTCAAAGTTGGTTAAACCCATCTTAAAACGACCTCTTATGAATAGAGTTGGTAGGTTAGAATAGTACTAGCATGTTCCTCACACATACATACTGTCAGCTTAATAAGGAAAATAATAATGGAATATACTTAAATGTTGTTACTGGCTTTTACTTAATTTTCAAACTCATATATTGCTTTTTAAAAGTCATTTGTGGGGCTGTCTGCCAGGTCTGTCTTCCCTTTGAGTGAAGATATATTCTTCTCTAGTCCTAATTTTATCAGTATTTGAAACTATCCTACCACTCTGTTGTCCTAAACTGAATTTGAGTGTGCAGAAGACTATAAACCTCATCCCAACTGCTCAAAATCAGATCACATATCAGATTAAATTAATCTTGATTTTTTTTTAAAGGAGAAGTTGGGCAAGATTTCATGCAAATCAAGAGAGTTCTGTTCGTGTCACTCTTAGAACAAATCATATGTAAAAATACAAAGCCATATTAAACACATACCAAGTATCATTGCCAGTTTGATGATTGTGAATGTGCTTCTTTTGTGCATCTGGGTCAAACTTCTGGGAAATACCTGGCACAATCACAGAAGTGTTTCTGAGCCTTTTTCCATGTCAAGTCTTTTTGGGTTTTTTGGGGGTTTTTTGGTTTGTTTTTTTTGGGGATTGGTTTTTGTTTGTTTGTTTGGGTTTTTAAAAAATTTTATTGTTTGTTTTTCCAATTTTAATTTCTGTTGAATGCCTCATTGCCTCCCCAGGACTCTGTTGGACACGTGTGGGAATATGCAGAGTTAAATCTAAAATAATTCTTTAACCAATAATTTTTAAATTATTGTGAGATTAGACTGTCCAATAAAATCTGAGTAATGAGGAGTAACTATGCTGAAGATTGTTTTGGGTAGCACAGTAAAAGCAAGGAGCAGGCTTGTAACACCGCTGGTTTCTAATTTGATACTCGATTCTGTTGTTTTCATGGTAAATGCAGCCCGTGCCCAGCTTGTGGCCAGCCGGCGGCGTCGCTCCCCCCAGCGCGGAGCTGGCGCGGTCAGCGGGCGGGACAGCGAGGGGACATTCCCACCCTACGGACACTACACGTGCAGTAACAGGCTTTGGGGTAGGATCCCACTACGCCAAGCAACGGGCGGCTGTTTAAGTTAGTAAAGGGACTTCGCAGCATTCGAGTGCCTGGACTACGGATGCACCTCGGAACGGCTGTCTGACTGCCCTGAAAACCCGGTGCAATACAGCTAAAATGTTTTGGCTAGCAGCTCCCTCGTGTAATAGTTAACATCAAATAAATTTAAAATAGAACATAATGAATGGGTTTTTTCATTGCTTCTAAATAATTTCTATACTTCCTAATTCAATTTGAAAGTGAAAGGACTTTAGATGGAGTAGCAGTATTTTGGATAATACATAGTTGAATTTTTAGACCCAAGAGGTACTACTTACTGATTTAAGTTACATATGCATTAATTATAAATAAGAACTTGGACCAGTGTTGGTTGAATGCTGAGACCCAGATTTTTAACATTAAATATTAATAAATCCTCCTTTTCCTCCACCTTTATCTCACTCAAGCTCTCCTTAACAGAGCTGCATTATTTTATTTTTTCTTTGGCTACAGATGTCTGCTCTTACAAGGCAAAGTGCATGTACAATGCGTAAACTTTTTTAATGCAGTTTCTTTCTCGGAAGCATAAATAATTCTGCTAGCAACTTGTAAATATACTCCATCTAGAATGAAAAGTGCTTCTGTTGAGAAATACCTAGAAAATATTACTTAACTGCATAGGATTATAATATTTTATTATGATAATACACAAAAAAAATTAATTATATGCAAACTGTTGTTTAACATTGTAACAGCCTTGACAGATTACAGAACAAAACTTCCAATCTGATTTTTATATCAATTCCCAGTCTATTGGAAACTGCATTAACAAATAATTAGATGCTACAAAGAAATCAACAGAGTTCTAAACACTCACATGACATAGTATTTAAACTTACAATGTATTTTTTAAATATTTAATCCAAATAGTGTTAAAGGAGCACTGTCAAACTCTTATGATTAAAATTTGGTAAGTCTTAACAAAAATATCAGAAACCATTCTGCAGCGGCGGCGGCTGACCTTAAGGTGTGTCCCGGCTAGCTGCGGCCAGCACCGCCGGCAGCACGGGGGCACTCTCCTGATCCGGGGCTCGGTCAGGGGAGCGCCTAAGGCTTTCGACTTGAGGGACGAGGATCCGCGGCTGAGAGAGAGAGATAGGGCTGCTAACCCACAAGAGGCAAAGAAGAGATGGACTCCAGCAGTAGTGCAACCCAGGTTTAACATCCAGGGGAGCTACCAGCTGGAGACCCAGCCAACTGGGCTCTGACTTGGGTTTTTAAAGTAGGGCGGATACATAGAGGAAAGGTGGTCTCCAGCAAATCAGAGAAAAGGTGGGTGTGGTGGTAGGATAACAGGCACATAGGAAAAACCAATGAGGGTAGAGCAGGGGTGGAGTCCTGGCCCCTGATCCAATCACTCGACGCCCAGGATGGAAGATTCTAGACAGAAGGGCTGGGGCACCGAGTGACAGACAGAGAACCGGGGAGGGAGTGAGGGATGGATACATTGGTTGCTAGGGGTAACAGGGAGGAGAGATTTGACGGGGCGATCAAGGAGAGAGAGAACCAGGGCAGAACCATTACATTAGAGGGGTACAAGGAACAAACCAACTTGGCATACAACATAACAAAACACAATACAACACCATTCTTTTAACTTAAAATAATTTAAGTATTGTTTATCTAGTAGTGAATTTCTTATAATACAAAAAATAATTTCATGACCCTCAAAAAACTACTTTCATTTGGATTATAGCAGCAGTTTACTAACAAACTCCACTTTGGGTTATGTGCATGTAAAGTTCATTTCTGAGCTAGGAAATTATCCCCTATATTGTGGCAAAGTAAAAAAGTAAAAATTTTGGTTACGTACTTAGTGGACTTAAGCATAGCTTAATAGGGCATTTTGACAGTGATCTGGCCATTTAAGGATATCAGCTGATAGAGATATTGAGCACAGATTTGAACACAAATGATGGAGGATGGAGGTTGTTCTTTCCTTTTGAACTGACATTGCCTGTGAGTCTTCTCATAAAAGCTCAGGCTTTACAATACAGTAAAATCTGGCTACAGAGATTCTAATATTGGATCAAATAAACAAACTGATAGTAGTATAAGACAGAATGCCAATTCAAAGTTATCTTACTCTTCTAGCGAACATCTACAAAACTTTAGCAACTTGACATCGATATTGGCAGGCTTTGGATTTCTTGGTGACTGCTTTAACGTGCGGAGTTACCACCAGGGCTCCCAGAGTCTTCACAAAAGCTTTGTTTGAAAAGAATGATTATTACTGGTGTTACACCACTGTCAACTAATTTGCAGGAATTCAAATACTGTCAGGTAACCTGTAACACCATGGCATCCTCCGGATAACTGGTGTAAGCTTTAGAGACAGCCTGCTTCCCAGACAGAGGAAAGGTGGTCTCCAGCAAATCAGAGAAAAGGTGGGTGTGGTGGTAGGATAACAGGCACATAGGAGAAACCAATGAGGGTAGAGCAGGGGTGGAGTCTGGGCCCCTGATCCAATCACTCGATGCCCAGGATGGAAGATTCTAGACAGAAGGGCTGGGGCACCGAGTGACAGACAGGGAACCAGGAAAGGACTGAGGGAATAGATACAATGGTTGCTAGGGGTAACAGGGAGGGGAGAGGTGACAGACGGGGCGATCAAGGAGAGAGAGAACCAGGGCAGAACCATTACATTAGAGGGGTACAAGGAACAAACCAACTTGGCATACAACATAACAAAACACAATACAACACCATTCTTTTAACTTAAAATAATTTAAGTATTGTTTATCTAGTAGTGAATTTCTTATAATACAAAAAATAATTTCATGACCCTCAAAAAACTACTTTCATTTGGATTATAGCAGCAGTTTACTAACAAACTCCACTTTGGGTTATGTGCATGTAAAGTTCATTTCTGAGCTAGGAAATTATCCCCTATATTGTGGCAAAGTAAAAAAGTAAAAATTTTGGTTACGTACTTAGTGGACTTAAGCATAGCTTAATAGGGCATTTTGACAGTGATCTGGCCATTTAAGGATATCAGCTGATAGAGATATTGAGCACAGATTTGAACACAAATGATGGAGGATGGAGGTTGTTCTTTCCTTTTGAACTGACATTGCCTGTGAGTCTTCTCATAAAAGCTCAGGCTTTACAATACAGTAAAATCTGGCTACAGAGATTCTAATATTGGATCAAATAAACAAACTGATAGTAGTATAAGACAGAATGCCAATTCAAAGTTATCTTACTCTTCTAGCGAACATCTACAAAACTTTAGCAACTTGACATCGATATTGGCAGGCTTTGGATTTCTTGGTGACTGCTTTAACGTGCGGAGTTACCACCAGGGCTCCCAGAGTCTTCACAAAAGCTTTGTTTGAAAAGAATGATTATTACTGGTGTTACACCACTGTCAACTAATTTGCAGGAATTCAAATACTGTCAGGTAACCTGTAACACCATGGCATCCTCCGGATAACTGGTGTAAGCTTTAGAGACAGCCTGCTTCCCAGACTTTTTGTATTTCTACCTCTGCCAACTGAGGTGAAGATAAACAACTCTTGGTTTTATGATGTAAGTCTATCCACTGAACACTCCTCACATCAGACACTGATGTACATGGATTTCTCAAAAAAAGAGACTGTAAACTGACTAATAACAGGTCTTTCGAGTGCTGCATCTCTGCACATGGCCTGCCCACTCACAATTTTGCTTCAGCTTGGAATAGGCACTTCTAAGAAGAACTAGGCAACAACCAATCAGTACAAATCCTGGTAAAGAATATATTCACAGTAAAGGCAGAAGTGCAGGCATGTATAAAATGGAAAAAGCCTTACCTAAGACACTCACTTATATAATTTTTAGACAGAGATGCTTTTTAAATTTTGTAATAGGTTGGTCTTTTTACCACAAGAATTTGCATCTATTTAGAAGGCTATCAACTTCCTCTCCTTCATGCCTTAGACAGAGCCCAGAATTCTGGCTCCCTGACTATTGGCTATAATGGGGGCAAAACCTTCTGCATAAAGTGAAGGTAAACAAGAAAAGTTAAACTGCACTAGAATTTGAGAGAAACATTTGCAGTCTTTTTAGAAACATATATGTCTATGTAAAAAAATAAATTCTGACAGTGTCCATTTAAAAAAGTTAAATGTACACAAACTGTTAGAATAATTACACAAACTCTAATCATCTCAGCAACTTTTAAATATCACACATTCAATTTTCACAAGCAAATTGCAATGCTATTTAGCATTTCTCAATATATTCAACATATTTTTTGGAACAAACTCAATGAAACACACTTGACATTTCAGAACAACCATGTGCAGCACATACTTCAGATGCAAACAGTAAACAATTTGAGCTACATTCACTTTGTGATCAAAAGTGTACTGGGTACTTAATGCAGCACCTTCACTATGGTAAGATCATGTTAAAGCCTCAATCCCCCCCCCCCCCCCAACACAGATGATTAACAACTAAGTTACAACACCATCACATAAAAATACCCTTTAGCATAAACAAACGCCTTAAAGCTTGTCACAGTCCACTTCTCTCAGCTTTCCAGAACAACAAACTCTCCAAATATTTTTTATAAGCTGATCAGAAAAAAATAAATACATCCAGCAAAAGCTCAATCCACTTTGTACAGGGTAATTAACACATTAACTCACTAGTTCACAAATCGTCTAATTCCTAACTCACATGCCTACAAGCAAAAGTTCCCCAGCCAATGGTGAATGAGAGTGCTCCTGCTTGCTCACTCTCTCCTGGTGCAGTGGTTCCTTGCACCACACCAGGAAACATGAAAGCTTCAACAGTCTGTCTGCGCCAAAAGCTTTTGTGATAAACTGATGTATCTGTGACTTCCAGCTTGAAAGTCTGGTCTATAGAATTTCCACGTGTTTGTGTATTCTAAAGAAAATGCCAGACAAGTAATTTGCAAAGATAAAGCTTCAAGTGGTGAGAGGTGCAGCAGATACCAAACCTACAGGTGGCAATGGCTGTAGAATTATCTTTTTCTGCTCACAGAGTCCTGCATAGGTGTTACCCCTGCTCTGATCTAATGGCACTGCTCCTAGCACATGCTAGGTCTTAGCAACAGCTCTGTTAGGTCAAAACCTGAGCAGGTGATGAATAATCACAAGTCTAGTAATATATCAATAAGGTTTCAGGCATGAATGTAAAACCTCTCATTTTAGTATATATCCATCTGCTAGAGTTGTAGCAAAAATAAAACAGTATATTTCAATTCCAATACATGCAAAAACATGCTCTGAAAAAGTAGAAAGAAAAACCATAGCTTTGGCTAAAGCTACTAGTTTACAGAGTTTTTATAAAAATATGAATAAAGCAGAAAAAACAGGGAGAATTTTTTTAAGCTCACCTGTATCAATTGGCCATCTTTTTGTTAACACATACTGCTTCTGCTTGTTATTGATGCTTTCATAACCCATTTGGTTGTACAGCACGTGACAGATACACAAAATTGACTGTCACTGAGAAGTGATTCTTGAATTTGCAACAAGAAGTGCTACGCTTGCAATGGATCTCATAGCATAGGTAGAAATCTTGTGACAAACTCCAGCTTGGGAAATGTAGTTGGAAGCTAAACGATACAGCCTTTCTGCTCCAAATATGTTAAAATGCCCAGGTAGTACCTTCTCCACAAGACCTCTGTCTACTAACTCCATCAGGCGCTGGCAGCTTGCAACATAGTCACTGACTCTGCTGTAGGGAAGCCAATCGATCATAGATCCATCATACACCACATCGCCACTGAACAAAATCTTCCGGTCCTTGTCATGTAAGCAAATACTGCCTCGTGAATGACCAGGCATGTGCATGACAGTGAGCTGTCGATCTCCGAGGTTGATCACATCCCCTGCAAACAGATTTGTTATAGGAAAATGTATTCATTTGCCATGTTTCTTAAATGACATAGAGAACTACCTACTCATATGCAGAATTTATACATGCTACACATTGCAACAGTGGGAGTGGGGCATTTATTTTCTTTGTGAGTGCCAAAGAGGCGTCTGAAATATAAGCTTAGCAAAAAGCTATTTTCACTAACAGTTAACACAGACTTGGGTTGTATTAATGGAATATATTCATATTCTAACAAACTGCACAATGTGAAAAGCAATGCAGTAGAGAAAATAAAATGGAAACAAAAAGAACACATCTAACCTGGTTCTTCTTTGCAAAGAATGTATTTCACGATTTATTATAATTTTACCCTTAGAGTTCCTCTAGAATTACACTGCTGCTACTCCTATAAGACAAAAGGCTAAAACATAAATTGCTGGAGGAGAACCAAGACAGGCCTCACACACTTTCTTCATCTCATTCATTAAGACATAAAAATAGAACTTTCTTACCATTAGGTCACTTTTTTGTCAGTTTACAAGTGAATGCCTTTTAATTGTACCAGACACTGAAACGATATTGTGTCTCATGTCTCAGTTAACATCTTAGAAATTCTGATGCTATTCTAGCAGCCAATGTACTTGCTCTTCTACAAAAGTTTTTTGTTTTTTTTTTTAATAATCCTCCCTACTTTTTGAGGAAAAAAAAACAACGTAAACTTCTGTTAATTTACTATAGTTAAATGTCGCTATAGTTATTTAACTATTACTGTAGTTAAATATCATCTGATCTTACTGAAGCCTTCAGTAAGTTCAGTTCTGCTTTTCCAGCACCTATGTGGGATGGCCTAATAAAGCCAAGAAGAGAGTAAGCACTGTGCCTAAGGTGTCACCTGTGTGACACCCGCCCTTTAATATCTACTGAACAGTATTGTAAAGTTTAGGTGTTTTGTTACCAAAAACCTAGTCCCCTTAGACACTAAATGATCATTTTTTATCTGCAACAAGCCACTTCCGTAAACACTACATCAGTAACAAGTGTTTTTTACATTTTATGTACGTCAGGTAAAATTCAGTAAATTCTGTAAAATAAAAACTGTGTTCTCAGTACGTATTTCAGGAATTGTTCTGTTAACTGCACTGTCCATGTTTTGACAGCTTATAAACAATAAAGGTCACCAGATACCAGAACATGACCTGCTGACATACCGTTTGAAGCCTAAGGATAAACCTGGGGTACTCAATTAGTCACCTAAAACATTACTGAGTGATTCTCATTCTAGATGGAAAAAAAAAAACAGCCGCCAAAACTTTCAGAGCTGGTAGAAACGGTTTAACCTAGTATGTGTCTTTTTGGTCCCATGCTGACTGTGGGTGGCTTTTAGATCCACCGGAGTGACAAAATTAATCGATTTAATGATTTTATACTAGGAGCTCGGTAAACCATGAGGCGCTCAGCAAAGAAATTGAAAAGAAGCTGCTCCGTAATACCCAGACCATTGTGCCCCCGCTCCCCTCAGCGCGTCGAGGCCGCCCCCATACCCTCGTGCAGCAGGCGACTGGGCCGGACGGGCGGGACGCGGAAATGCCGTGCGCTCCAGCCGGGCCGCGGCGGTCGCGCCACCTCCCGGTCTGACAGCCAGGTCACGGCCTCGTAATTGTCGCCTTGGAGCAGCGCCGCCGCCTCGGCGCTGTGCACCGCCACCTCCTCGAAGTGCTGCAGCCCGCCCGAGTGGTCGAAGTGGACGTGGGTGGCCACAGCCAGCAGCGGCCGCGGTCCGGCGCCCTCAGCTGGCGCCAGCAGCCCGGCGTCACGCAGGTAGTCGGGCAGGCTGCGCAGCCCCAGCCCCGCGTCAATCACCACGTCTCGCTGCGAGCCCCGCACCAGCCAGATGTTGGCTCGGTTGCCCGACTCGTAGAAGCGTTCTTGGATCCAAAAGATACCGCCGCCCAGGGGCTTGTGAGCGAACCACTCCAGCGCCGACATGGCCCGGCCGGCGCTGCGAGCCCGCGAACGCCCCGCCCAGCGCCCGGGCGGTGGCACGGGCGGGGCGGGGCAAGCGCGGGCCCGGCCCACTGCGGCAGCGGCAGGCGGGGCGTGACGGTGTTGGGTGAGCGGTGGGGAAGGCCGGACGGGCTTTAGGGGTTCTGCCGTGGCAGGCGGGGTCGGGTGTTTGAGCCCTCCTTCCGCACTGAGACCCGTCGGCGGACCGGGCAGTAAAGGCGAAGCGCCCCGGCCGTGCGGGGAGCGGCGGGACCCTCTAGGGGTGACGGGCCGTCAGCGAGGTGCAGGGAGCGGGAAAGGAGTGGAGAGCAGCTGAGAGGGGTATTCTCACACGGCAGAACTTAGTGACCCTCAGGACAAATGTCTTCTCCGACTTGCCTTCGCGGGAGTTAGTTTAAAAAGACATCCACAAAACCTCAGTATTTAAAGTTCAGTACTTTCTTCTATATCTGTTCTTCCCTTTAACTGATGGCACTTGCCTCTGAAAATCAAGGACCACAAACGCCAGAACACGATCAGGAGTTTTGTTGTGAGGAAAGCATTGGATACCGAGAGCTCGTCAGAACTCTCAGTCTGCTTAAGTCTGCTGTTGCTGCACCGGCCGCCCGGCAGCTGTCGGGGATCCGGATTCCACGGGCCTTTCCCTCTTGAAACATCAGCTGCCTTCCCCTGAGTAACTGCCCGAGAAACTGCATGCATAGGTTTGGAGGAATTTGAAAAGCCTAAATCTGAAAATCTTCTCTTTTATAAATGACATACAAACTACCCAGAAACAAGAAAATACACCCAGGTGATCTTTTAGACAATCCCCCAAGGCAAACAGAACACTAGTTGTGGTAACTTTGTCATGCTTCGTGGCTTAGTTGTCCAACTCTTCAGGTTTTTTCAGTCAGTCACTGTCACTTTGTACTGTTGGTAAACATAAACCTTCTGAGGTTATGATTTTAAAAAATCACAAGTTTGGGTAAAAATGTGAAGTTGAAGTGCTGCTAGTTTTAAAGCTTATTACGTCTTATCAGACCAATGTCATTTACGCAAATTTACTAAGAATTAATTTTAAAGCAGTTTTTAAAAAAATGGACCTTCATATTCACTACATTTAATGCCTTTCCTTGCTAGCTCAGCATCTCGTTTAACTTTTATTTTGTTGTGTTGTTCTGCTCTTGTTTCCTTTTTTTTTTTTTTCACATCTAGATAATTGCTCATGTTTGGGGCTTTACAATGTCTTTTATCTTCTCCATTCTGCAAGGCTCACGTCTTGCTTTTCATCCTGTTTTCAGAGGACCTTCCCTTCCCTTCCCTTCCCTTCCCTTCCCTTCCCTTCCCTTCCCTTCCCTTCCCTTCCCTTCCCTTTTTCTTAAAAAAAATATTTATTTCGGTCTCTCTTATTTTTTAGACAGTATTTTGTGCTGCAGAGTGGCATGGAATTACAGATTATGATTTTGTTTTGTCCACATAGAGCTTACTTCTGTTGAAAGTAACAAGTAGGAAAAAACTGGCATCAACATGTTTTCTCTGGCCTTAATAAAAAAGCCTTTGCTTCTGCCTGGGGGGAACCAGGTGCAGTTGTACAGGTACGGCAGTAAGTCTGGAAAAACCTGGTTGTACCGAGCAAATACAGTGACCTTGCAGTTAATAGTGAACAGCTCATGAGATTTCTGGGCTCGGACCTTGCACCGATCTGAATCGTCTGTGGGAGTGAGCAGTATCACAGTGCTTCAGCTTTTCTTGGGTCCCATTTATTGACATCTTTCCTCCATTCTCATGTTTTGATTTACTTATCAACACATGGGTTGTACAATTAATGAGATGGAGGTATAACAATGAAAGTGGAGAGATATGGCTATAAATGTTCTGGAGGCTCTTCTTCTTTTATGACCTTTTAAAATATTTCAGTTAGAAGCAACATCCTTTTTTTCCCCCAGCAGTTAGCTTGCAGTCCTGCTGAAGTTTTTAATGACTTTTGATTATCTTATTACCTCTTTGCCCATGTCACTTTATCAAGATCCAGAAATAGTCGCTAAGATAAAGGACAAAAAACAGTCAGGATGAAGAAGTCATGAATGACAAACACAAACTGGTTTCTGGAGAAAAGTTCAAAAACCACTAGAATGTAGTCACAAAATGTTCCAGGTTCTTAAACTTTTTTTTCACTTGTTTCTGGTTCTTCTGGTTGAACTCAATACAGTGTAACTAAGGTTTAGAAGAAGATGGCTTAAAATTCCTAGGTTAGGAGGCAGTTTCAGGCATGCAGAGCTGGCTAGCAGAAATAAGGGAATGAAGCTGATTTTATGCTTGTATCAAATTTACAGTCTGTGGAAGAATCTAAGATGGGCATTGAAAATGGCTTGCTATTTAAAAAAATATCTCTGTTTTTAAAAATAATGTAATCTTTGTTAGACACTAACTTTCTTGGTAATATGTACATCAATTTGAAACATGTAAGGAAAATATATCTTTAAAAATCTGTAATATTTTCAGTACATCCAAATGGCTGGGTCAGATGGAGGAAGAGGGCATGCTTCATTTGCCTTCAACATGGAGGCTATTGGCTTTGGTAAAGGTGCAGCTCTACCTGATGTCATCTGTAAGCCTCCACCACCATTTCCAGTAAGTACAGCTAGTATCGTGGAGCACAGTCTGTGTTTAGGTAAACTGTGTTTAGAGTCATGTTTAGAGAACATAATGAAATACATGAACGCTGCTAAGAACTTTGGATTTTATAATAATGTATATGTCACCAGTTTTCTTAAATCATCATCAAAGGCATTTTCCTGCCCCTTTGCTAACTGTTGTATGCCCTATTTAACTGGATTGCTTGCAAGGAGTTAATGCGTTGAAGTCCTCATCATGATTTGGTTTTCTGGAAATTACAAGAATAGAAACACTGGATACTTGAATTTGTCTGAAATGAGTTTACATTAATCTTTGAAGCTATAAATAGATTTGCTGATTTTAGAAAATTACTATTTTTGCAAACATGAAAGATTGTGTATGATTGTCTTGTACTGCAGAAGCCAGCATTTGAAAATAACTGAAAGATACTTTGTGTAATTAAGGGAGCGTAATTGAGACTTGGCAGTTAGGATGTATTTGAAAATCAAAGGGAAATAAAAACCATTTTCTGACAGTGTTTTGATGTGCAGGGAAGCTTTTGACTTACTGAACCATATATTACTCATCCTCTTAATCCAGCATTACAATTAAGATGTGTGATTTCACATTATTAAGTCATCTGTAACTGTGTTTTATATGAATGTTGCAGTCTGCTTGGTAGCACAGTTCTGTGCCATCTGAATTCTGTATACTAACTACATCTTTTGAGGTACAGTCAGCCTTACAGGAGAATTACTAGCCCCAGTATATTTCATGTATACCATGGTGAAGGTAAAAAAGCTTTCTTCCTTTTGTGAACAAAATTTCAGAACCAAGTTAAACTTCTCAGGGCAAATCTGGTGCCATTCAGGAAAATCAGAATTAACCTAGCTGTATAAGTAGAATCAATAAAAAATTGAAGTGTTGATTTAATGACTGGACAATGACCAAAAGTATGTTGCAACTTTGACTAACTTACAGTGAAATTTTTTGAAGCAGTGCATTATTGCTGTTGCATATTTCTATTAGACACTTTCTGCATTTACACAAAGTTTCTGTAAATGCAATTAGAAACCAAATTAAGGAGCATCAGCAACATTAAGTGATTTAAAGTGTTGGCCAACTAGAAAATATAGATAGAAGAAGCAGTGAGCTCCTTTCATGGTCCAGATCTGGGACTTGTGATAGCACTTCATGCTTTGCAACCTACCACTCAGTTATTGATTTAGCACCATTTATCACATGAGAGAAACAAGGTCCATTCTGTAATTCTGTCTGTAGTATTCTGGATATTTTTAAAACTGTTTTTACATATTTATCTTTCTCACTTTCAAGATTCAAGTTAAACAAAAACAAAACACCCCAAAAACAAACCACCCCAAAAAAAAAACCCACAAAAAAACCTACCTCCAACCCCAAAAATCCAACCCTTAACAATTTATTTAAATTCAGCTGGTAGAAACTGAACTGTGTGAGGGTCTGGTTTACAACACAACCTGTTTACATTATAATAGTCATGGGAAGCGTGTCCATGTTATTCAGATATACTTAATGTAGCTGTAACGCTATCATAGAAGTGGTTGAGAACAAGACTACTCTTGACTGAAGAGAGAGGGAGTGGTTTCTGAGAAAGGTTGGTGAGAATAACTGCTTTTGGCAATTAAGAGTTTAGGATTACTATGAATGACTGTGTAACAATTTTAATAAATTTTTTTTCATTAATTTTGTGGTACATTTTTGCAGAAAGATAAAGTGAAGTTATAAAATATATAAATTTAGGTGTAAACATAGTTACTATGCATATCAAAATGCAATGAAGTGTACTTGAGAAGTAGTGTAGTGCATAATTGCACTCCTTTTTTATATGTTTCTCGTAGTTTTTGTTAATGTACCTGTATGTTTGGTGGATATCAGGACCTTATAAATAATAAACATAATTTGTACAGAGTACGGACAATAAGCCAGTGCCTCTGAAAATAAGAGAAGACGAAGATTACATGTTGGCCTTAAAACAAGATCTTAGAGATACTACAAAAAAAATGCCATACTTCTTGACAGTAGGAGATAAACATTATAGGTTTGTGTGCTTTTTATTTTTATTTATATCTTATTATTCTGTGAAGGTTGAGGTAGTGTAAAGCAAGTGTTGAGGATTAGTTTCATTCTTATAATGAGGAAGAAAAATGGTAGCTTAAGCTAATAGGGAATTTTTCTGCTTTTACACATATTGAAGTGCTGTAACTGGAAAAACACTACTGTGTGGAAAAGAGAGGTATTAAACATCTATTCCATTTGGTATACAGTAATAAACATTTAGACCATCTACATGCAGCCTTTTCAATTATATGCTAGCCAGTACAAGCTAGTTCGGTATTTCTGTGTGTTACAATACCCTAAACTTTTTCATCAGAGCAAAGAAATATGTAGTAAATACTAGTGTTGAATTCAGCTTTCATTGAAATTGTAAATTGTAAAGACACACAAGAAATACTGCTTGACACAAGAAATAATATTATATTTAATAGATGGAAATTGTAAAAGGTACTCAGTTTTTTTTCCCCCCTAAGTCCATTCAGGAAATATTAGAAAGTGTTATTGACAAGTCCCTTGAAATACGAAGATTGAGGTGAGCATAAGTGATTTATTGAAGTTTTTATCAGAAGCAGAGCTGGATTATAAGCCAGATCTTGATCTTATTCTTTGGGACCTCAGATTTGCTTTTGCTTACGCATAACTAAAAATTAATAGCTTTGTTATTTTTGATAACAGTAAATGCTGGAGTTATACTTGACATCCAGTCATCATCATTATATTGTTAAAATTCAAGCTTCCTGGTCAGAAAGCTGAGCTAGTGGGAAAGAAGGAAAGTGGAGCAGAAAGACTGATATGTCTATTTACCATACTGTGAGGATATTGTAGATCTAGAAGTCACTGGTGATTATTACTGTGAGAAGTGCTTCTTTTCATTCATGATTTTTAGCTAGTTTTATTAGCTGCTGAGTGCTTATTCTGAGTGTTATAAATGGAAAGTGCTGTGACAGTTTCATAGAAGTGTTTAAAAGCCTGAAGCGGCTAAACACTAGATAGTATTTTCTTTCCTGTCTCGTGGTGATTTTGAATAATGGGAACTGACTTATAATCTAAAATGTAAGGTTTCATTTCCACACAAAACCCATCAAGATATTTTCTGGGTAAATATTCATTATGATAATGTATAGGTGCATGATCCAGTCCCCTCATAATTTTTGTTCATTTCTGTTCATGGTGTAATGGTGAATTCTAGGTGTTTTTGAAACTGTATGCAATTCTTTTTAATTAGGCTTTGAATGTAACACTCCTTATTGTCCAGTTGTTGTGTACTAAAGCCAACAATGAAATGGAGCAGCAGTGTGAGCAGTGAACGCACTGCCAGCCAGATGTTGTGGCTCACAAAAGACAGAGTATTTCCCCTGTTTTGCAGCTGGAGTTCAGGTTGTGCAACCAGGTAAAACTGGTTATGAGGCAAGAACAGATCTGATCCTTATTTCTAGATCCTTTTATGATGATAGAAGAATTTTGAATTACTCTTTTGTCATATGTCCTCTTTCATCTTCTGGGTAAACAAGTTTCAGTGTCTTTGGATTTCCATCTCACTAGAGGCTAGCTGTACTCTTGATCTTTGTCAGGCTTGAAGTTTGCTATTTCTGTTAGAGGCACAGAAAAGAAAACTGGTGTGTCTGAGAGCCAAACAGGGTTATTTCCAATGAACCAGCTGCTTTATGAGGCAATACTAGCTCTCTTTTCTGACTTTACATCATGTGATCATTCTTATTGTTCACCAGTATTATGTTTGTTCCTGAAGCCTTTCTGAGATGGAGAGATCTCTCTCTGTTGTTGAGTGTATTCTTTGGTACAACTGGCAGTTTTGAAAACTGTTTCCTACCAGAATTGGCAGTTGCAGGGAAAGCAGGTAGATAGCCACTTCATAGATTAAAATAATGCTTCAAATGTTCTCATCACCCCTGCAAGGGTAAGTTGGTAACTTGAGGTATCTTTTTATTGAATCTTGAGTTGTACAAAAATGCCACATCTGTGGGGTGGGTTATAATTACATCAGTGATGGTCTTCAATTTAAAAAGCTTGTTTTTATCTCATTTGCAATGTGCAGTTGTCTCTGGGACTGCATTTTGTGGCAAAAATGGTCTAGCTTTAAGAAACTGCAGAGTAGATTATTTTTAACTGATATTTTCTGTTACCTGGTTTACAAAACATCTTGTAAAACTAAGAAGGTGTTATAGGGTGGGCGCTAAGCAGGAAATTCTTAATTTGTCTTTGCTACAAGAGTGAATGGATTGTTACAAAACCTCAGAGTAGTATCTGTGAGCCAAATGGTCCTTTGAAGTGTGAGAAGGGAAATGTTTTAATTAGTTGGGATGTATCTGTCTGTCTTTCATTATTCAGGTAGCAAGTGAAAGCCATATCTCATTCTACCTGGAAATTTCAATCTCATGGAATGAGTGCAAAGTGCTGGACCTGGATTGGGCCATTGCCAGCATGTTGAGGGAGGGATTGTTCCCCTCTTCCCTGGTTTGGTGGGACCCCACCTGCGGTTCTGCATAAGCTCTGGAGTCCCAACACAGGAAGGACATGTTGGAACAACATGTTCTGGACCTGTTGGAACAACATGTTCCGGACCTGTTGGAACAAGTCCAGAAGAGGCCACTCAGTTGATCAGAGGGATGGAGAACTTCTCCTGTGAGGAGAGGCTGAGAGAATTGGGATTATTCAGCTTGGAAAAGAGAAGACTTCAGGCTGACCTAATTGCAGCCTTTCAGTATCTGAAGGGAATTTACAGAAAAGATGGGCAATAGCATGCCCAGGACAAGGGGGAATGGGTTCAAATTGAAAGAGAGTAGGTTTAGATTAGACATTAGGAAGAAATTCTTTACTGTGACAGTGTTGAGGCACTGACACATGTTGTTCAGGGAAGTTGTGGATGTCCTGCCGCTCCTCCCGGCTAGCTGATGACAAGGCGGGGGGGGGAAGGGGGGATGGGCGGAAGATTCCCCCCTCGAGCACCGTGAATCCCAGCTACCAGCTGTTGGCGAAGCATAAAACACAGGGCAGCACACCGGTCCCGGGGAAACTTCATTTGATGGTGAAACTTCCCCTCTTCTGCTTCCTGGGACGAGGAACAGGGGGCAGACAGGAGCTTGTATATGGGGGCAGGTTTCAGGGTAGGGTACAATCTCTAACAAATCAGGAGAATTGGGAGTAAAAAGCAAGGTGGGAACCACAATGTATAAACAAATAAAAATTCCAAGGGAGGAGAACAGTTTCAGTAAACTGATAAAGTTTGGAGAAATAGAAACTAGCAGCTAACAACAAGAAAAGTGACAAAAATTCTGGGAAAAGGCGAGAACAAAAAGGAAGCAGCATAAAGAAAACTACCAAATTATAAATCAAACAATAAACCCACTAATAAAACAAAAAGCACACTGCAACAATGCCCCATTTCTGGAGGTGTTCAACGCCAGGCTGGGTGCAGCTTTGAGTAACCTGGTCTAGTGGAAGTGGTCCCTGCCCATGGCAGTGGGGTTAGAACAAGATGATGGTTAAGATCCCTTCCAACTCAAACTCTTTTGTGATTCTGTGAGTCTGTGATTTTGTGCTAGAAGTCTTTGATGCTAAAGGTCAAAGGCTATCTTTGTTACTATTTTTTGTAAAATATCTGCAAATATTATCCCTACTTGGGTTAACAGTGCAATCAGATTCAGTAATTTTACACAAAATGTATTTTGCGTGTGGTAATTTGGCAAGAAAAAATGTGACTGATTTAAAAATACTAAAGTTTTGCTACTGCTTTTGGCATTAGAGACTGTATATAAAAGGTTATTCCGTGTAAATGGGTGTACTTGCACTGTATGACTACTGTATTATTTACAATTAATTTCTCAATTTAGTTCTTGTGCCTGGAAGGAGCTTAAATGGATTAAAGTGTTTAGCTGCTGGTTTGGATAGGATGCAAAGCTTTTCCATTGTAAAAGTACTGAAAGTCTTGGAAGCTGATGATCAGACACAACCTTTTGAGACATGGGAATACTGGATACTATTAATGATTAACAGTGATGTTAAATGTTACTCACTGGTTTTGTAATAAAGGTTTGATTGTGAAACTCTTGAAGAGTAGAGAGTTAGTGTTATATTTGATGTTTCTACTTAGTCTTTGAATAAATCTGCATTTAACAATTCCATGCTTTTCAAGGATAAAAGAATAAATTATAGTATTTTTGGAGTATTGGGTGTTTTTTGTTTGTTTTTGGAGTGGGTTTTTTGTTTGGTTTTTTTACTGCTTGCCAACAAGAAACTGTTCAACTTGGGATTAGAAAAATGCACTGTATGTAGCATTACAGGTAAATATTAAGGACTGTGTCTGGATGCCTTGACTGTGAACTGAATAACGCTTTCTCTATAGCAATTGAGAGATAGTCAGGAGTACCAGGATAAAGCAAAGGAGCAAGGAAACATGGACACCAGGAAATAGCTGAGATTATCAAAGGCTAATTTTCTATGAACCTGTGAAATGTTTTGATCTTTTAAGTATTTGATTCGTTATTTTTCAAACAATAAAAAAATATGAAATTATTACCACATAATATATTCCTTCCAATCTTGTATGTTGAGAGTTATTGTACTTGGCATGATTTCAGATCAAGCTAAGTGTTGTTTTGTCAAAAAAAAAAAAAAAAAAAGGAAAATTAGCTGCTGAGTGCTTATTCTGAGTGTTATAAATGGAAAGTGCTGTGACAGTTTCATAGAAGTGTTTAAAAGCCTGAAGCGGCTAAACACTAGATAGTATTTTCTTTCCTGTCTCGTGGTGATTTTGAATAATGGGAACTGACTTATAATCTAAAATGTAAGGTTTCATTTCCACACAAAACCCATCAAGATATTTTCTGGGTAAATATTCATTATGATAATGTATAGGTGCATGATCCAGTCCCCTCATAATTTTTGTTCATTTCTGTTCATGGTGTAATGGTGAATTCTAGGTGTTTTTGAAACTGTATGCAATTCTTTTTAATTAGGCTTTGAATGTAACACTCCTTATTGTCCAGTTGTTGTGTACTAAAGCCAACAATGAAATGGAGCAGCAGTGTGAGCAGTGAACGCACTGCCAGCCAGATGTTGTGGCTCACAAAAGACAGAGTATTTCCCCTGTTTTGCAGCTGGAGTTCAGGTTGTGCAACCAGGTAAAACTGGTTATGAGGCAAGAACAGATCTGATCCTTATTTCTAGATCCTTTTATGATGATAGAAGAATTTTGAATTACTCTTTTGTCATATGTCCTCTTTCATCTTCTGGGTAAACAAGTTTCAGTGTCTTTGGATTTCCATCTCACTAGAGGCTAGCTGTACTCTTGATCTTTGTCAGGCTTGAAGTTTGCTATTTCTGTTAGAGGCACAGAAAAGAAAACTGGTGTGTCTGAGAGCCAAACAGGGTTATTTCCAATGAACCAGCTGCTTTATGAGGCAATACTAGCTCTCTTTTCTGACTTTACATCATGTGATCATTCTTATTGTTCACCAGTATTATGTTTGTTCCTGAAGCCTTTCTGAGATGGAGAGATCTCTCTCTGTTGTTGAGTGTATTCTTTGGTACAACTGGCAGTTTTGAAAACTGTTTCCTACCAGAATTGGCAGTTGCAGGGAAAGCAGGTAGATAGCCACTTCATAGATTAAAATAATGCTTCAAATGTTCTCATCACCCCTGCAAGGGTAAGTTGGTAACTTGAGGTATCTTTTTATTGAATCTTGAGTTGTACAAAAATGCCACATCTGTGGGGTGGGTTATAATTACATCAGTGATGGTCTTCAATTTAAAAAGCTTGTTTTTATCTCATTTGCAATGTGCAGTTGTCTCTGGGACTGCATTTTGTGGCAAAAATGGTCTAGCTTTAAGAAACTGCAGAGTAGATTATTTTTAACTGATATTTTCTGTTACCTGGTTTACAAAACATCTTGTAAAACTAAGAAGGTGTTATAGGGTGGGCGCTAAGCAGGAAATTCTTAATTTGTCTTTGCTACAAGAGTGAATGGATTGTTACAAAACCTCAGAGTAGTATCTGTGAGCCAAATGGTCCTTTGAAGTGTGAGAAGGGAAATGTTTTAATTAGTTGGGATGTATCTGTCTGTCTTTCATTATTCAGGTAGCAAGTGAAAGCCATATCTCATTCTACCTGGAAATTTCAATCTCATGGAATGAGTGCAAAGTGCTGGACCTGGATTGGGCCATTGCCAGCATGTTGAGGGAGGGATTGTTCCCCTCTTCCCTGGTTTGGTGGGACCCCACCTGCGGTTCTGCATAAGCTCTGGAGTCCCAACACAGGAAGGACATGTTGGAACAACATGTTCTGGACCTGTTGGAACAACATGTTCCGGACCTGTTGGAACAAGTCCAGAAGAGGCCACTCAGTTGATCAGAGGGATGGAGAACTTCTCCTGTGAGGAGAGGCTGAGAGAATTGGGATTATTCAGCTTGGAAAAGAGAAGACTTCAGGCTGACCTAATTGCAGCCTTTCAGTATCTGAAGGGAATTTACAGAAAAGATGGGCAATAGCATGCCCAGGACAAGGGGGAATGGGTTCAAATTGAAAGAGAGTAGGTTTAGATTAGACATTAGGAAGAAATTCTTTACTGTGACAGTGTTGAGGCACTGACACATGTTGTTCAGGGAAGTTGTGGATGTCCTGCCGCTCCTCCCGGCTAGCTGATGACAAGGCGGGGGGGGGAAGGGGGGATGGGCGGAAGATTCCCCCCTCGAGCACCGTGAATCCCAGCTACCAGCTGTTGGCGAAGCATAAAACACAGGGCAGCACACCGGTCCCGGGGAAACTTCATTTGATGGTGAAACTTCCCCTCTTCTGCTTCCTGGGACGAGGAACAGGGGGCAGACAGGAGCTTGTATATGGGGGCAGGTTTCAGGGTAGGGTACAATCTCTAACAAATCAGGAGAATTGGGAGTAAAAAGCAAGGTGGGAACCACAATGTATAAACAAATAAAAATTCCAAGGGAGGAGAACAGTTTCAGTAAACTGATAAAGTTTGGAGAAATAGAAACTAGCAGCTAACAACAAGAAAAGTGACAAAAATTCTGGGAAAAGGCGAGAACAAAAAGGAAGCAGCATAAAGAAAACTACCAAATTATAAATCAAACAATAAACCCACTAATAAAACAAAAAGCACACTGCAACAATGCCCCATTTCTGGAGGTGTTCAACGCCAGGCTGGGTGCAGCTTTGAGTAACCTGGTCTAGTGGAAGTGGTCCCTGCCCATGGCAGTGGGGTTAGAACAAGATGATGGTTAAGATCCCTTCCAACTCAAACTCTTTTGTGATTCTGTGAGTCTGTGATTTTGTGCTAGAAGTCTTTGATGCTAAAGGTCAAAGGCTATCTTTGTTACTATTTTTTGTAAAATATCTGCAAATATTATCCCTACTTGGGTTAACAGTGCAATCAGATTCAGTAATTTTACACAAAATGTATTTTGCGTGTGGTAATTTGGCAAGAAAAAATGTGACTGATTTAAAAATACTAAAGTTTTGCTACTGCTTTTGGCATTAGAGACTGTATATAAAAGGTTATTCCGTGTAAATGGGTGTACTTGCACTGTATGACTACTGTATTATTTACAATTAATTTCTCAATTTAGTTCTTGTGCCTGGAAGGAGCTTAAATGGATTAAAGTGTTTAGCTGCTGGTTTGGATAGGATGCAAAGCTTTTCCATTGTAAAAGTACTGAAAGTCTTGGAAGCTGATGATCAGACACAACCTTTTGAGACATGGGAATACTGGATACTATTAATGATTAACAGTGATGTTAAATGTTACTCACTGGTTTTGTAATAAAGGTTTGATTGTGAAACTCTTGAAGAGTAGAGAGTTAGTGTTATATTTGATGTTTCTACTTAGTCTTTGAATAAATCTGCATTTAACAATTCCATGCTTTTCAAGGATAAAAGAATAAATTATAGTATTTTTGGAGTATTGGGTGTTTTTTGTTTGTTTTTGGAGTGGGTTTTTTGTTTGGTTTTTTTACTGCTTGCCAACAAGAAACTGTTCAACTTGGGATTAGAAAAATGCACTGTATGTAGCATTACAGGTAAATATTAAGGACTGTGTCTGGATGCCTTGACTGTGAACTGAATAACGCTTTCTCTATAGCAATTGAGAGATAGTCAGGAGTACCAGGATAAAGCAAAGGAGCAAGGAAACATGGACACCAGGAAATAGCTGAGATTATCAAAGGCTAATTTTCTATGAACCTGTGAAATGTTTTGATCTTTTAAGTATTTGATTCGTTATTTTTCAAACAATAAAAAAATATGAAATTATTACCACATAATATATTCCTTCCAATCTTGTATGTTGAGAGTTATTGTACTTGGCATGATTTCAGATCAAGCTAAGTGTTGTTTTGTCAAAAAAAAAAAAAAAAAAAGGAAAGAATCTCTGTTGTAACAACCAATTGGCAGCACAAATGCAAAATTTAGCTCTCACTCTTGCTCTCCTTTTTCCTTACTCACTTCATAAGACTTTTGAACTGGGAGCAAACATTGACATTACTAAAAATGACCCAGCCTTATGTCTGTCATGGGAAGCTATGTTTTATAATATTAGCCTTCCCCATGTCTTTATCTCACTACTGAAAACTTAATTACATAATAAGTAAGAGCCCCTGGGCCACTGGAATGGCTGAACTTTGTCACCTTGGGATAGAAGCCAGTTGTCATTATGTGGGTGAAATGGCAATCCTGACTCCTGTTCCTCAATTTAAATTACAGCTAAAACTTAAAACTGTTGTGCTAAAACATTTTGGCATGCATGTAAATAGGATTGAGCACCCTTCCTTTCCCTGGTGGCAGGGGAAGGATTACTGCCGTAAATCATTTTTCTATATTAAAGTTATTTTCTGTACAGATTGGAGAAGACTCCCAAGATAGATGAAACCAAAGAAGGCAAACAAAAAACGTATGTTATATATTTTAAGAAGCAAATATTACATAGTAGTTGCGAGACAGAAGCTGTGATTGAGATAGTAAGAGGAAAAAATGCTAGAGATGTTAATTAGTCTAAATCATTAAGGCTGTTGGCAGATTCTTTCCCTAAATATTTTATTAGTCTGTCTTTTGTGATTTTTGCTTGCTTCTGTAGGATGTTTTAACTTACTGGAACAGATTTACCTTCCTTTTTTCTGCCTTTTATGTTGAGGCACCATATTAATGTACAAGATATGTAACAGTAAAAAATTTTTTAAAAATCCACAAATCTTTTTTGTTTTGAAAACTTGTCTCTTTAGTCAGCACTCATCCTTCTATTCAGTAGTAACTGGCTGTTCAGGTTTCCTTTATATTTTGGTTTCTCAATTATCTTGTTAATGATTTGATTGATTTTTGAATTTTTAAAGCCTTTTATATGTAATTTAATGTGGGTTATTTTCTGTTTTCCCTGATTTTACTTTATTTTCAGCTTTTGTCTGCAGAATCGTGAATCAGATCCTTGTAAAGCAGTTGGAACTGGTAGCACTAGTTCTTACAGAAAATCAGACTTCTATTATACAGCATCATTTGTTTTTCAAAGTGTTTTCTAGTATGCATGACTTATCTTATTTTAAGTTCTCTGTAGAAATTTGTGGCCTCCTGTGAGAAGAAACACTTGGCCTCATGTGTTTAGCTGTCTGTTTATATATAATTGTTTGCTTTCTTCCAAGTCTTTCATGTGTCATTTTTCAGTTCATAGATAAAACAGAAAAAGGAATGGGAATGTGTGTAGTCACAGAGACTGGTTCAGCTGGAATCTTTGTTCCTTTTTAGAGCATCATTGAGAAGCATGATACAGAAGGCAGACTGTAAGATTCAACTGAAAATGAAATATTTATTTGCTAAATCTCTAAAGGCGGGACCAGAATATACCTGGGGTTTTATTCCAAAAGAAGAAACCATGGGCTTCTGTAAGCCTATGCACAATAGTTTTCACCCTGAGATCAGTGAGCTCTGCTCACTGGGGGAATTCTTCTTTCTTTAGTTCCAGTTTCTCTACTGGCACTTAAAAGTACATTCCTCTACATGTTATAATGGCAAAGATCAGCTGACCATCAGAATTTGATTGGATTAAAAACCAGGTTCCCCTGAAAGCAAAACCAATGTAGAGCTAAGGTTTTTTTGTGGACTCCTGATGATACATTTAGGTTTTTTTTGTTGTTTTTTTTTTTTGTTTGTTTTGTTTTTTGATTGATTGTTTGTTTTTTGTTTTTGTTTTGTTTTGGTTTTTTTTTGTTTGTGTTTTTTTTTGTTTGTTTGTTTTTTGTTTTTTTTTTTTTTTTTTTTTTTTTTTGTTTTTTTTTTTTTTGTTTTGTTGTTTTTTTTTTTTTTGTGTGGAATCCTGATGATACATATATGAGTCAGGAAGTTTGTACATAGCTGATCAATGACCCATTAGAGCTCCCGGTATGTGTCTTCATTGTATTTTGAGGACACATAGATTAGGTGACACTTTAACCATGGTGGAACAAAGGTGAACAAATCAACAGAATTTGTAAAGAAATTCAAACCAGGTTCCTACCATTCTCCCTTTTTAGCTTGCAGGAGTGGTTTTGGGATCAATACCATGCAATTCCATGCACAGGGGCAGCTGTACTTTTACACACCTCCCCTCCCTTTTTCTGGTTTCCATGGATGTTTTAACTGAAGACCTGACCACCTGCCTTCTCAGTGACAAAACTTCAGGTAGAATTCCACATTTCTCCCACACTGACCCTGGGCTGTGAAATGCAATATCCTAGATACCAGCAGTACCTGCTGAAAAGAAAAAATACATAAATAAAATAAAAAAAAATGTCATCTGGGTTCAGTTGACATTGTAGGCTAGCCATATGCATAGGTATATAGCACTTAAATGTATGCATTTTAGCCCAAGTACTGTAAGACCAGGTACTTGGAAATGACATTAGACTGTATTCCATTGCACCTCTAAGGTATATAATGTAGGGAGCTATTTTGCTTGAAGTTCTAACAATGGGCCAGTGTCTCTAATTTTATAAGGGCCAAAGATGCCCAGCTTTTAGAGACAACTGTCACATATCTGTCTGTTCTATATGCATTATCTGTAATAGCTTGCAGGAGGTTGTGTAGGGATGATAATTCTGAATTGCACTGCTTCTTTTCCTAAAAAGCCTACTTTATTCTGGAAGTGTTTGCTTTGATGCTGTTCATGTTTTTGCTGAGCAGCTTGACTCCCCTCACCTCCGTGCAGTAGTCATATAATCCTTTCCTAGGCAAAACACTGGAATAAACTCAATGTTATTGATGACAAATGCTTTTGATAAAATATAGGTGTTTTCTCAGCAGTTCCCAGTGTTCTCCTTCCTTGAGTATTTGGGGAACTTTGGTTTAGGGTGCTGCCATTCAAGTACCTCTTACCTGGGTATATAGTTTACTATTTTTGATCTTTGCTCCACCATACAGTTAATCAGGGAGTAACTTGATAAAGATTATGTTCATGAATCAGGGGACTATGCAGAATTACACAACACAGATTCACTAGATGAGAGCCAATTGTAGTCCAAAAGCCATGTAGCTATAGTAATCATGCCTTCTGTTAGAGCTAATGGACTTCTGCCTTTTTTTTACATCTACTTGTCTGAAGCATCCATCATTAATGTTTTGTATAAATTAGTAAAAATGAGTTTTTATCTTTTCAAGATGATCAAACATAACAAGTGAGATTCTGTTCTAGGTTCTTAGCATATTTCAAGTATATAGGTGACTAGTATTTTGTGAAGCTGAATGTTATATTTTAGCCTAGCCTTTTGAAGAAGCGTGTTTCCTGGGCTGTCAGGGTCCACTCCAGCTAGCTATAGACCCTTGCCCACATGATACTTCATGGACGAAGGTAAAAGATTAGAGAAGCGCTCTCCTCCATGTGGGAAACGTTGTCCTTTATTCCAAGACACACATCAGGCGGACAAACCCATGGGAGAAAAGAGAGCGTTCCCTGGCAGCAGGGAGCTTTTATACCCCCCGGGATGGGGACAGAGGGAGAGGTCCACAGCCAATGGAATACCAGTGAGGAGTGGCAAGGGCAGGGGTAACCCAGGGGAGAGACCACCAGGTGATACTGGGACAGGTGAGGGAAAGACCATGTGATGGGGAAATGGGGTAACAAACCCCATGATATAATATAAGCTATAGAGTGCAATACAAAACTATTCTGTGCAAATTCCCAATCACCCAGTGCAAGAGAACAACTAAACTGGTGCACCACAACAGCCTTTGGTCAACTACTTGTTCAAACTGAATTTTAGACTGGCCTTCTAGGCATCTCTTACATAAATCAGAGATTTACATCTCTGTGAATGATGCAGCTCAAAATCTCAGGTAATTTTAATACAGACAGTATGGGATTTCCGTGGCATACTTAGGATGTATTTATTCTTAAGAACAAGTAAAACAAGAAAATTTGTCTTTTTCACAATTAAAAAAAAAAAAAAAAAAAAAAACCAAAAGAAAACCATGATGCATTTTATTTCACCAGGTGCAAAAACAAAAAAGGCAAAAAAACTCTGAGCCTAAAAGAAATCTGGATGTCATTAAAAAAATTGAAGTAAGATGTGCATACTATTTTATAAATTTTACAATAGAAATTGAAGGAAAATGAAACCTAATATGTTTATGAGTACAAATGGAATAACCAGCACACATTTTCTGGTCTTGTCTCACTACTCTGACAGACAACTGTTCTGCAGCATGGTGGCACAAGGGTTAGGGTCAGGAGAGTCTGGCTGTGAAGAAACTACTTTCTTTGCTTTTGGTTGTACCTGAACACAAGAACCAACTGCTCTTCACTGGGTAGCAATACAGCCTAATGTGAACAGTAGAGCTACTATTGGAGCTTACAGAAGGAGCAACTGGTGCCAGTGTTTTTGAATCTGTTGCTGTTTCATCAATCTACTGATGTTGGAACTTAAACAATTTACTAAGTTGAGAAGGAAGAAACATACAGAAACTTAGGACATGACCTCTGTTTTGCTGGCAATTATTTACGTGGCAGTGGGAATCTTTAAGGTGAAGCAGCTTTGTATTTTTTCTTCTGGTGATCCACCAGTTGTTTAAAGCAGTTACATTATTACATACAGTATGTGGTATTGCTTTACCAAGTATGACATGGTCTTCTGTCAACTGTTCTAACAGTGGATGGTAAAGGGAAATTGTCATCTCAGTTTATTACACAGGACATGTTTTTTTATGGCTGATGCTTGATCACGCAAATCCTTATTAAGTTTGTGTGCTTCACATCATATTGTTTTAGATACTGACACACAACATTTGCACTGCATTGTTATGCTAACTGTCTTGCTGTAAACTGCATCTTATCTCTTTGGTAATATGGAGGATATGCTGTTGCTGTAACATGGGATTTCCTTGTTAAGAGATTGCTTTGTGACAGGCACTAAAAAAGAAGGATGAGGAAAAAGAAAAACCTGAGGATGAGAAAGACAGAAGACAAAGAAGGTGAAGATGATGAAGAAGCAGAAGAACCAGAGGAATATGGTGAAGAGCATGAAAAGGTATCATGTTAGTGTTCCTATTTATACAGTCAGATCCCAGTCACTGATAGCATTTGCTAGCAAAGAAATGTCCCTAGCTCCCAATAAGGCAGAGTTGTTTTGGGAGAAATTATTACAATCATTATCTTTGTTGCACTACATTGTATTGTAAATTCAAGTGACTGTTCTAGACTTATTACTCACAAAGAGCTCTGAAAAAAAGATCTTGTACACAAGACTGTATTGACACAATCAATACACACAATTACTTCTTTTTATCACTAAAACAACAGTGATGCCTGTTGTTTCATATACATGAGGACTTCATTACAGGATTTTCCTTTTTCTTTCCCAATAAACTGTTACTGTTTTAAAGTGTGGGAGCTCGAGTGCAGTTGAAGTAATGTTTCTTCTATAAATTGTCTTCTCTACACATGCAGTGATTTTTTTCCCATTGGTTTAGGAAAATTACTACATTTCTTCCTATTTTGAAGATGGAGATGGCTTTGGTGTTGTCAGTGATGACAATATGGTTGAAGCAACATAGTAGCTGTTGTTTCTAAGTGTCAAACTGCACAAGCCTTATACTACCTGAAGCAGAATTCTGGAGATAGGCTGAGTATAAATAGACTTAATGCTTTAGCTTTGTTGGTTTTAAGCAGACTCTCCAAAAACACACTGGAGTTTAATTGTACTATTCTGTAAAAGAGCTAGGGAATCCTTTGTTTTGTTCTTTTGCTAAGTGTTTTGCAGACATGCCTTTTTAAGGTCCTCTGTAACACTTACGGATAGAGTAAGCTCTATGCCATTGTTTCCTCTGCACAGAAAAAAAATGTATGCATTTTACTTGAAATTCTGTCTAAGCATTTGCACTAGTCAATTCCATGCCTCAGCAGTAAAATTTTGAAATAAATAACGAAATTCTTGATGACCACTGTAAAAAAAAAAAAAAAAGACATAGCCTTTATGGACATAAGCTGCTTGTTGGTAGTTCCTTTGAAGAACTTTAGTAAATTCTGAGTACAGGTAACTGAAAACAACTGACAACTATGCACTTCAATATAAACTGACATGGAAGTACCTTAGTAATATAGACAAACAACATGACAGTAATTTGAAGGACCATTCATCTAGTTAGAACACATTGCCTTTAGTATTTTGGTTAAAAAGGAACACATTAAAATATGCTATATTACCTTAATGAATCAGCAGAAATCATAATTAAGGATAATTTGGCTTAGAAAGAATATATGGCAGAATTTAAGAAATTATAGAATCCTGGTTTACACCTGTGCACTCACTAGTGATGAAAATTTGAACCCTTTGCCTCGTTTTCTCCACCTGTTAGGGCAATACTTTCTTACTTCAGAGCTGTTAAGTGAGCTAGCAGATAATAGCTATCTATGTAATTGTTGATGTACTTATTTATTTTCCTACAGAACGAACAAGACAGACAAAAAACCAGTAAGAAACAAACCCCAAAGTATAGAAAAGGAGTGTGGTGAAGTATTTTAATGCATTGTGTTTTAATCAGAAAAATAAGAGAATGCCAAGGAAAAGCCAAAGCTGAATGTTTGGAAACATCATTTTTATTTGAGAACCAACAGCTGTAGTGTTGAAAACTTATTACTGAGATTAGATGCTTGAAGAACACTGTGACAGCACATTCTCTGTATCTTACTGTCTTTTGATAGTAAAAAATACTGTTTTTTATTGTTACTACGTTACTGTTGATCAGGGTTATTGGGCTTTTTTTGTTGCTTGGTTTTGAAGTGTTATTTTCTTTAAAAAAATGTTTCACCTTACTGGTGACTGGGAAACAATTCTGCATTATTATGTGAACTTCTGATATACAAAACACAGAGAGAAGATGTGAATGAGGCAAATATGCTGAAAATTAAATTTGCTTGCTGTGACTATAACTGCTTCTGCTATCTGTTCTCCCTGTGCAAGGTGAATGGTGAGACTCCTTTCCCCCCACAAAAAAATGCAAATAGATGGAACCATAAAAATAATGCCAGAAAAGAGTTACTGCATTAGTAACAATTCGTTGACAAGTTGTGGCTTGCCTGAACAAGTACAGTATCTTATTCTGTAGCAGACAGTAATTCTTGAGGATCGATTACTTTCCCCATTCATCAGTCTTCTAATGGGCAACTGCCTTCCTACTGCACTGTTGAGAAATATTACTCTTGTAAAAATCAGGTCCTTTTGAGTCCTTTAAGAGGTAAACTTAGTAGTTTAGAGGTAGTCACCTCTGTCCTCCAGAGGGAATTGCAAAGTCTTAGGCTGCACTCTCCAGGATTAGTTTAGCTATGGTAAATAAGGCCATCAATTAGGAACAAGTTCTGCAAGGACACAGATCAGTGCCACAGGTGTAATACTTGCACCTCTGTTTAGAAGCTGATTTTCTAATTGCTTAGAATTTATTGCAGGACCATAATGCTTATAAAACTTACAACTTAGTTTTCAGCAAACTTCAAATTTGGACAGGCATATATTCAAACCCTAACTTACAGCAAAGAAAAATACTGTTTTCAGTGTCATCTCACTGTCTAAGAACTTCAGTGATTAGAAGTTAGTTGTTCATACCTATTTCTAAGAACCAAAAAATTCTCCAAAATTTATGCAAAGTTTACAAGCCATGAACAGAATAAACCATAAAGGCTGCAATTATAGTATGCTAGATATGAATATTGCCAACAAAGTACTTGCTGGCTAAGGATTTTTATAGTAGAACATACATAAAAATTGGCCTAAACAAATACTAGTGGTAGCCTGCTGTAATAAAACATGCAAAGTACATAGAACTAAAAATATATTAGATGCACCATTTGCACTGCAATCTAAAATAAAATCTTTATTTTACATATATTACTTATGTTTTTCTAAAAGCAGAGGAGCAGAAGTATTTAAAATAAGACTTGCATCCTCACTCAGAAGTATTTCACAAAGTTGTACTTTCAGCCCTTATACAAAGGGCTATTCGTGAGAACTTATTCTGAAGTATGTCAGACTTAAAACATTTAGATTTTATATGATCCAGCAGAGCAATATGCACTTAAGTTTCAAACCCATTTCCTGAACAACATGTTGCAATTATTTAAAAAGGTGATTTACAACTAAATTATTCCATGTTTGTGGGGGTTTTGGCTCTTTTTTTTTTTTTTTTTTCTTTTGGGGATTGTTTATTTGTCTTTGGTTTTGTTTGTTTATTTAAGAAATCAGTTTCTAGAAGACTACCTTCACAGATTTTATCTTGAATCAGATTTAAGTTCCTCACAGAGCAGCTATCCTGTTTATTCCAAGCTGTGATGATGAATTACTGGTTGTGTTGTATTTTGGAGAAAAAAGCTGTAAAGATCCCCACATTCTGCAGCAAGGCAAGCCAGCTGATGGTTGTAGATTACCAGATTCAGGAGTGCTACATTCTTGAAAATAATTATACTGTATCTTCTGATAAAGTTAACTCTTATTAAAAATGTACTGTTTGGAATATGCTACATAATACATATGTAAAAACATGCCCGGTTCTTGGTTAGAATGGAATATGGTCCCATAAAATAGCTACTCCTTTGTGTTTTTCCAAACACTGCTTATCCTGAGGTAAATCAAGGCACATCACCATTAACTCAGTGCCAGTAAGCCATGGGTCTTTGACACTGTAAAAGCCCAAAGTCTGGGACACACTAGAGAACTCTTTAGCTGTACCACCACAGACCTCTGTATCCATACATCAACAGGTCAGAGACTTTCCTCACCTAGTCGAACCACAACCACAGTTAACTTCACTTCTGTACCAACAGCAATGTGCTATGTATTAGGCTTATGCTGCATCATCACAGTAGCTAATTTAATATTCTTTGATGAATCCATAAGAAATGGAAGGATAAAGTATTAGAACTGGTGATTTTCAGCAACAGGATGGGAGAAGAAGCTAAACAATAAAATTATGCAGCAAAAAAATGATGCATTATATACCAAGTTTCATCCTATATAGAAAACATTTTTTATGTGCCAAAGCTTTTTTTTGTCTGAGTCACTTTTTAAAGTTTTAACCATGAGAGCTGTATCACTTTAGCCACCATAAATTATTTCGTGAAGTATTTTTGCATATAGCATTAGAACTGCTACCTCAGTGTTTATGTTTGTCTTACTGGCATATTCTCTTAAAGAAAAGAACTACTATTTTAAAAGATCTTTGAAAACAAGTGTTACACAAACCATCAAGTTCATGCTGTTTGTAATCCCTTTTCTAGTGTGGAGACTATGAGTAGGCTCACTATCTCCACAGATGCTCCTTTAATCAAAAGGTTCAACAGTCACAGATCATAGTTCATGTACCTAACTTTACACCATTTTCCTTCAAGCTTTGGCCTGCCTCAATTTCAATATAACACAAGTTAGCCAATTCTTGTTCATACACTTGGCAGGCCAGTGAAAACTATCTGCCCCACTTCTTGGGGAAACAGGTTCCCCAAGAATAAATGGGGCCTAAGTCTTCCCTCTCAGAATCTCACAGAGCATTTTGGAATACCTCAATAGTTAGAACACATTCACTTTACCTTTTTGTGCTGTGTTGTGGTGCAGGGTTCATTTGGTTTGTTCTGTTACCCCCTAAGAATTCCGATATGCCATTTAAGCTTAAATTAAATTAAATTAAAGCCATTCAGAGTCGGAAGCCTTTGAAAGCTCTGACAGTTTTCACAGACGCGTCTGGAGCATCCCACAAGTCAGTAGTGACTTGGTGGGATCCTGAAACTCGGCGGTGGGAGACAGACATTATCAAAGCTGAAGGATCACCTCAAATTGCCGAGTTGGCCACAGTTGTCAGAGTCTTTGAAAGGTTCTCCCAACCATTCAACTTAGTAATTGACTCTGCGTACGTAGCCAGTGTCGTTTCCAGAGCGGAGAACGCAATTCTTCAGGAGGTCTCCAATACGGCTCTGTTTAATTTGCCCTCGAGACTAATAGATCTAGTCTCCCACCGAGAGCAACCCTTTTATGTTATGCATGTGAGGTCACACACCGACCTCCCGGGGTTCATCACCGAGGGCAATCGGTGTGCCAATGCTCTAGCCGCCCCAGTTGAGATGGCCCCACTTCCCAATGCCTTTCAACAGGCAAAGCTCAGCCACCAACGGTTCCATCAGAATGCTCCTGGCCTGGTCCGACAATTCCATCTTACCCGGGACCAGGCTAGAGCAATTGTGGCCACATGCCCACAGTGCCAGGCATTTCAGTTGCCAGCTATTGCAGCCGGCACCAACCCGCGGGGACTTAAAAGTTGTGACATCTGGCAGATGGACGTCACCCACATCCCAGAATTCGGCAGGTTTAAATACGTGCATGTCTCTGTCGACACCTTTTCTGGGACCGTCTACGCCTCTGGTCTCACAGGGGAGAGGACGGCAGATGT